AAGTCTGTAGGCTTGGTGACAAGTACCTTTACCCATCTAAACATCACATTGACTTCTAGTCACTTGGCTAAGAGTGTACAACTGAGTTCTTGTTGATTTCACAAGGTTATATAACCATCACTACTGTCTAAGTCCAGAATATTTTCATCACCTCCCAAAAGAAACCCTATACCCATTAGTGATTATTTTCTTTTCCCATGTACCTCTAAATCAGTGGTTCTCAACCTTCCTGATGCTACGACCCTTTAATATAGTTCTTAGGCTGTGGTGACCCCACCTATAAAAGAACCTTTGCTGCTGTTACGAATAGTAGTGTAAATATCTGATATGGAATCCCTAAAGGGGTTGGGGCTCCCAGGTTGAGAACAACTGCAGTCTAACTCACGGCTACCATCTTTTGTTCCTGTGGGTCAGCCTATGCTGGACATTTCCCATAAAACGGAATCATGAGTAGCATTTTGTGTAGCATCTTCCCTTTATAGTGTTTTCACGATTCATCTACCTTGTGATATGAATTCACTTCCACTTAATGGTTGAAGAATATTCTATTACAGTGGAATTGCTACAAGCTGCAGCATTATACAGTAATTGTTCAGCCATCTTTTCATGAGCAACTTATCAGGACCAAGGGATCTGGTGAAGGCTAAACCAAAGGCAAGGCTTGTTGGCGTTACTGCTTTGTGAATAAAGTGGCTGCCCTTTGCTGTAGACTTTTCGCTGTGCTAGCTCCCTTTCTGTTACATGTTTGGGGATTAATTCCCACACTTCAGAACTTTTTAGTGAAAACAGTTTCCCACTGCCAAGTCTTGTTCCTCTAGGTTAAGTGCAGAGATCTGCCTTCCTGCAATTATCCTTATCAGCAGACATTTGGTCTAGGGTCCAGGCAAAGAGCATCCTATCTAAGATATTCACAGATCTCCAAGGACAGAATTACTACCTGCCCAAGCTGCTGCTCTGGTTTTACCCCACAACACCCACAATTAGAACAGCTGATAACAGTATAGCCCGGAACTGATAATTTAAGAGGCCTGGGTCTCTTCGTTTAGAGCAGTTAGTTACTCCAGACCTACGGCGGTAGTAACTACAGTGTCTGGTGTATGTGCTATCAGGTCAAGAGCCATCAGCTTCCCCTAAGTTGCCTAGTTACCTGGCAGCCTCTATGCATACTGGGAGAAGAGGATTGATGCGCTGATTTAAAATACAATCCATGCCCTATTCATAATTTTACTGAAAGTAAACCTTTTAGCTCTTACCTATCACCTAGTAATGTAGCATAGCACACTAATTTTTCCCTCTAGAATTTCCTAATTCCCTTAACTTTCTCCATTAATTAGTACACCGAATGTTTACTAGCCACTCGTGTGTGTGTGTGTGTGTGTGTGTGTGTGAAAACTCTTATCTGATTTTCTGTGGAAGCTGCTAGTGCTGGAGAATTGCTGGTTTTAAGGATATGTATGACTGGGCACGTTTGTAATGGGTGGGACAAGGGACAGTGGAATGATGCAGTAGAAAGAGCAAAGGAGAACGCATAGAAATGAGAAGGAAGAATAAAGAAAAAGATGGACGATTCCTGTTGTGAGTAGATTTCTTACCCCTCCGATTTCTAGCCCCTCTTTTGCTATCTGTGGCATCTTTAATTGAACCCTGAAAGGGAGTCTTAAAGGTGAAAACTTTTAAGTTCCCTAAACTTAACCTTCTTAATGCTGTGATCCTTAAATACAGTTCCTCTTGTGGTGACCCCTGGCCATAAAATTTTCATTGCTACTTCATAACTGTAATTTTGCAACTGCTATGAATTGTAATGTAAATGTCTGTTTTCTGATGGTCCTAGGTGACCCCTATGAAAGGGGTGTGTAACCATAAAGGGGCCAAGGCCCACAGGTTGAGAACCACAGTTATAGGGACTGAAAATGCTAAACCACATCCTCAGTCTTAACAGATTGGTTTCTCTGCTGATGGACATGTGGGTTTCCTCTTGGCTGCTGTCAACACTACAACTACCAGCTTTGAAATCGAAGCTTTTCTGTGAATGCAGCTGTCACTTTTCTTGGGTGTGTATTGAGAAGTAGACTTGCTATGTTGTTACAGTCCTCCTTCTCCATCACAGATTTACAGCTCTGCTTTGCTGCCATTTCTGGAGGACTGGGTTCCACCTCGGCATCTCCACAGTGTTTTCCTTTGAACACTCACTAATTCTGATGATTTTTTTAATTTTAAGAGCCATTTTATGGCTTTCCTACTGTGAGTGGTTCATGTTAATGGCATTTTTCTTACTGTTCTTTCTTTGAACTAAAAAACGCTTTCTGCTTAATTTCAGCTTTTTTGTTACTATTATTTTGCATGCCAGAGTTCGTTATTGCTGGACAATGGCCTTACTGCTGAGCTGTATCCTCACCTGAATTTTTACCCTTGTGGATCAATTATTATGTGTCAAATCCAAGATTTCACAAACAGCTTTTTCTGATTTTTTTTTTGTCTCTTATTTGTCCCTGTTAAATTACTCTTGTCCTGTGCAGTTATATTCACTCCCTCCAGTTCTCCATTTTCAAATTACCAGCTAGCTATGATAATTTATCTATTGTCTGTTGGGTGCCAGGTTTTCCCCATGCTCTCTGTTCCTTTGTTTAATCATCTTGTATTACGTACCTCATTTTCTCCATTCTTGCCCTTAAGTTTGTCAGTCAGTTTTCATTGTAAATTCATGGTATCCAGGTTCAGGTGGGCACATTAGACTTTTTAATTCTGGTCCTATTTAAGTGACTGTTAGAACTACCTACCTAAGGGAGTTTAAGCTTACAAATTCTTGAGCCTCAGTCTGACCAGTCCTTTTGTTACCTTGTTTTGTTTGGTACAGGGTCTCAGTATGTAGCTCTGGCTGGCCTCAAACTTGCTATGTAGCTTAGGCTGGCCCGCCTGGGATTAAGGGTCTCACTACCATGCCAGGCTGCACAACACCAGGTTTAACAGAAGAATGAACTTCACTAAAGATCTAGACTTGCTAACGTGCACATGTTCTCTCTGCTTCTTCACTGCTCTAATGCACCCTTACAGTTGGTATCTCACCAATCTTCGTGTTGCCTCCTTAGCTCACATTTTCCCCTACCAGTTATTTTACTGTTTAAGAAAACAAAGAATCCCATTTGTTCTTCATAACCTCTCTCTCCTCTCCAGGAATGGGGTTGACCCAGGACGTAATCTTCCTTTTCTTCCCTTCCTGAGAGTGTGTCTCATGTAGCCCAGGATGGCCTTGGATTTGACTTGTAGCCAAGAAGGAGCTCAAATTTGTGATACTCCTGCTCCCCACTTCTGAGGGCTGAGATTACAGGGCTGTCCCACGACCATGTCTTATAAAATGTGGGGTGTCGATCCCAGGGCTTTGAGCTTTCCAGGAAAGCACCCCACCACTGAGCTGTTCTCTCAGGTTCCAAAGGGACTTGTACTTCCTGAATTACCCTCTATCACCTTTACAGTTATTTCCCACATGGATTGTTTTAAAATGCTTTCTCAAGTATCACCTGTTCACTTTTGGCCTTTAGCCTTTCTGTTGCCATGGATACCAAAGGCTCATTTCAGTTTCAGGGCCTCTTCGAAGGCCCTGAAAATGTTCCCTTTTGTAAGGCTGAAAAAGTAAAGTACTTATGAGTTTCCTACTCCCAACAAACCTCAGTTTATTCATAAAAATTCATATGAGAGGCTAGAGAGATGGCTCAGTGGCTAAGAGCACATTCTACTCCCGAGGACCCAGGTTTGATTCCCAGCGTGCATATGGCAGCTCACAAGCTGACTGTAACTCCAGGTCCAAGGGGTCTGACGCCCTCTCCTGACCTCTATGGGCACCAGGCACACTCATGGTGCTCAGATATACACAAACATATTTTTTAAAGCTCATGTTTGTTACAGTTTAGAGGAAAGAGATAGGACATATCTTCAGCTTGGTCACAGTTCATGGCTACATGACAACGCATCTCATCATTTGGGTTGTCCTCAAAGGGCTTTTTCCATAGCCAGATCCTAGACGTGGTCCTCAAAACCGTAGGTTCGGGAACTAGATTTTAAGCAGTTTGGTGAGGGTAAGTGAGCACTGGGAGCTTACTGCAGAACCAGCCGAAGAGGAGATTCTAAAAGAATTGTTCTTACACCTTACTATGCAAGAACGATCACAGGTTGCTGGCTAGGACATGCCTGTTCTCAGGATACTTCCAGCTATTTTAGAAACCAAATAGGATTACAAATTGTGTGGCTATTGTAAGACCAAACAAAAATATTTGGTCTTACAGTCTCGGCCCGTTAAAAATGAGCCGGCCCGTTAAAAATGAGTGAGAGCCCCCGTTTCCCTGCTTCCTGTACGATGTCAGCACACGCACGATGATGGTCTACAGATCTTGCCCAGTCACGGCGTATCTGTTCTTCAGGCATAAGGCAAGTTTTGAGCTCCAGGTTACCCGGCTTACAGTATGCACCCATCCTTTCATGTCTACTCTGGGTTCTACCCCAAATCTTGCCCGAGGGTGCTGGCGTCCCCGGAGTCTTTTTTCATGTCAAGGCTGTTCACCTAATACCTTATTTACCTGCCTCTGCTAAACAACCTACTAAGCGCCTCCGTCCACCACCCGGAACGGAAAGGAAGTGAGGAATCGCAGCTGGGCGGAACCTCCCTGGGTGGGGCCCGTGCTCCGCCGCGCCCCGGGCGGGTTAGGTGGGGACCGCTCACGGTCTCCTCAGTCCTCCAAAGCCGCCACCTTCGTCCGCCTCGTGGCCACTCGAGTAACCAGCGATCCCTTGAGAGCAGAGGCGGTCTGGCCCGGGCGGAAAGGTCCCTACAAACTTAAGCCCGTAGGTGTGAAGACGCGGGCGTCACCTGACCGAACCTGCCGAGTCCAGGTGAAGGGGCGGGGCGGGATGGCGCGGAGCCAATCATAGCGCCTGACGACAGCGCTCCACCAATCAGAATCAGGGAGGCTCCGGCGCACGCTGGGCTGGCCCGGGCGGGTGAGAGCCGCCCCCTTGCAGCTGGGTGGCCAACGCCTTCGCCAGAGGGTTACTAGGAGTGGTGCTGCTGCCCCGAGCTGAGCCGACCGCAGGGCTGTCGGCAGGCGGTGCCGTCTTTCGCTAGCTCAGTTCTCTGCAGCTCTTGGCCGTGACAGATGCTTGTGTCCGTGCCTGTCGCGGACGCATTCTGACCCCGGCCCTTCCTCTCTCTGGAGACTGCCTATGGCTGGGGACCGAGTGAGGTCGTTGCCTTGACGACGGCAGCATGCGGCCCGCGGTCCTCGGAAGTGTGAGCTTGTGGAGGGCAGAAGCCAATCTGCCTCCCTACCTGCTTCACCTAGGACCAGTAACTGCGTCCGCAGAGAAAATCCCAATACTGGGATTGCTAGTTGTGCTAGTCAGCATCTTTTAGATCTGCTAGCGAGATGCATATCACCTCCAATTTGTTTCCAAGTTGAAAACCTTTGGCTCTTTCCATGTGAAGGGTTTGGAAGACATAGTAAGTATAATACTTTTTAAAGCCCTGTTATCTTGTTCTTTTTATCTATAGAAGATTTCAGTTTTATTTTAACCAAAGAAAATTGGTGGTATTTGAACAGTGTGCTTGTATGGCACGGATCTTAAATTACTGTAGTGCCATGGTCACAGACTCCCTTTTTGTGTGCCACGTGATATCCATAGATTTAAGAATGGAAGGCAAGAACAAACATAGATTATAAATAACTGAGGAAGCAAGGCGTATTTTAGGCCGTGATATTTTTGAGGTATTTGTAGACAGACTCACTTGAACGAGCAGGCGTGCCCAGTGTAGTGTGTCCACATGCGCAGTTGGTTGGGAGAATGAACTTGGAGCTTGTATGATACTAGCTCATGATATGTTTCAGAACTCTGTAGACATGCTTAAAGTAATTTTTATTTTGTTCACTTTGCATCTTCAAATATCTAGCATGTCGATTACAATCTGATTAAAAACAGTCCAGGATGTAGCTTCCAGCTATTTGTATTATTGGCATTACTAACCTAAAGCGTACTCCTTTATAATATATACTTAACGGAAGGCTAAAAACTAAGCACTAGAAGACTTTTCCAAATATAAACGTTTTATTAAAAAGTAATTAAAATTAAAGAGATTTAAAAATGCCAAATATATGGGAAGCCAGTTCCTGGGACACTGGGAGTAGGTTTTAGTAGAGTCTGATACCCAAACCAGTATCGAATTTGAGGTTCATGGGGATTGCCTTCACCCCCCATCATTGTCCTAGTCCTTTATGTTTATCTACGTTTGCAGTTTGCAAATCATGGGTGCTAGACGGTGTAGTTCTGTGGCAGAAAAAAACACCTTCTTAACCTATTGGAGGCCTGGGTTAATTCTCTCTCTCTCTCTCTCTCTCTCTCTCGCTCTCGCTCTCGCTCTCGCTCTCGCTCTCTCGCCCTCCCTCCCTCCCTTCCTCCCTTCCTCTCTCCCTCCTTCCTTCATCTCTATCTCATAAAACCTCAAACTGTTAAATGTCAAGAGTTGGAAATGTAATATATACCTTTATACCTTGGATTATTGTAATTTCCTAGAATAAAAAGACAGTGGGATTTGTTTTTTGTATGTTTGTTGGTTTTCCCTTTGCTCTTCATATGCAGATAGAAAAGGCACTAAAACATCAGCGGTCTTTACAATTTGGGGAAGTTACCTTCAGATCGCCATAGTACTCCATCAGTATTAAGAGGAAAGAATCATTTTTGTTTCACAGTTTGGTGTTTTGTATGGTCAGGCTTTAAAAATTCACCTATGAGTCATTTGAATATAAGCTTACCTAATGGTTAAGCCCTTTCAAATCCCTGTTGAAACCAAAGGAGGATCTGGAGCAATGTTTTTTATTCATGGCTACTGGAATTTAAATTTCAAAAACCAGACTTAAAAACAAATAAAATTTATCCTGGGTATGGTGGCATACTCTTTTAATCCCAGCACTTGTGAGGCAGAGTCAAGTAAATTCTATATAGTATATAGAATATTACTATATTACACCCATACTAAGCCCACATTCTACCACTGAACCACATTTCCAGCATAAAAATAGCGATTTTTTTCTGTATTAAAACATGCAATATGAAAAAAGTTGATTACTGGATTTTCATCAATTATTTATAAAATAAGATGATACCATTTATGATTGACTTTATTCAGAAAATGCCTTATAATGAGATAAAAGAATCCTGTGTACAGAATTTAAGTCTAATATAGTAATTTAATCAGTATATAAGAAAAGTGAGAAGGAACTCATGAGATGGCTCAGCGCTTAAGAGCTCTGGCTGGAGCCTGGTGTTGGTGGCCCATACCTTTAACCCCAGCACTGTGAGGCAGAGGAAGGCAGAGCTCTGTGAGTTCAAGACCAGCCTGGTCTACAAAACAAAACAAAGCACTGACTGCTCTTCCAAAGACCAGGGTTCAGTTCCGAGCATCTCCAAGGCAGTTCACGTTGCCTGTTACTCCAGTTCTAGGGAGTCTGACACCCTCACACAGACACACATGCAAGAAAACATGTGTGTGGAAACAGGGTTTCTCTTTGTAGCTTTGGCTGTCCTGGAAGCCTGTTTGTAGACCAGGTTGGCCTCGAACTCACAGAGATTTGCCAGTTTCTGCCTCCCAAGTGCTGGGGTTAAAGGTGTGCACTACCATGTCCATTAGTTACTATTTTTATTTTATTTGTATGAGTGTTTTCTCTGCACATACGTATTGTGCACCAGTATGTATGTCTGTGCCTAGTGCACACAGAGGGCCAGAAGTGGGTGTTGGGTCTTCAGAAACTGAAGCTATGACTGTGATTTATTGTGGGGTTTTGGGAGCCAAGCCCAGGTCCTCTGGAAGAGCAGTACATGTTCTTAATCGCTGAGCCGTCTCCAGTCCCAGAATAAAAATTTTTGGTTTTCGTGAAAACCAAATTCAGTTGTGCTCCTTTCATCTTTAAGTGAAAAGGATTGTACTTTGTGAGCTGTAGTTGTTTTGAACTATAGCTTATTGCTTCACATATTTAAAAATAAATTTATTTATTAATATGAATTTATACAATCTAAAATGTAAGGTTAGTGGTTTTGATTCCTTTGCATTGTTTATTTTTAAAGTGCATAAACATTTTGAATGTTTAGCTTAGTGTGGGAATGGTAAGAAACGGTGATAGGTTACAGATAGCTGTGAACCTAGTGACTTGCTGTAACAAGGGAAACAATTTCCCAAGACAATTTGCTGGGAGACTGGAGCAAATGGACTCACTCAGCATTGTTAATGCTATGCTTTGTTTTCCACAGCAAGAAAAATTCCTACTGGTTTCAAATTACAATGGAAAAATATGAGAACCTAGGATTGGTTGGAGAAGGGAGCTATGGAATGGTGATGAAGTGCAGGAACAAAGACAGCGGAAGAATTGTGGCTATTAAGAAGTTCTTAGAAAGCGATGATGACAAAATGGTGAAGAAAATCGCTATGCGAGAAATCAAGTTACTAAAGGTAAGTGCATGCACTGAATCAAAGATTAGCTGGTTCTTGTTCAAGGTTGTGTCACATTTGCAGGAAAACATCACTGGTTTGTGGGGGGTGGGGAGTGCACATGTGTGTATGTACATGTGGAGGCTGGAGGACAGCCTTGAGTGTTACTACTTAGCAGCTGACTACCCAGGAACTTGCCAAGTAGAAAAGACTCTCTGGCCAGTGAGCCCCCGTCTTCATGTCTTCACCTTCCCAGCACACTATGCCTTGCCTGGGTGTTCATGCAGGCTGGGGATCAAACTCAGACTCCTGTGCTTTGCTGATTAGGTGTCTCCCGAGCCCTGTGTTTTTGTATGTCAAACTTGGTGCATACCTGCAGTCCCAGCACCTTGTGGAGCAGAGGCAGGCAGGTTCCTGTGAGCTGCAAGCAAGCCTGGTCTACATAGAAAGTTCTAGGACAGCCAGGGCCATATAAAGAAACCCTCTCTCAAAAGAGGCAAGAACAACTGTATGTGAGGATTTTCTTCAGGATGGTGTCTTACCAGTAAAGAAAAATGAAGACTTATTTTTAATTATAAATGCTTGCAATAGCTTAGGCTTGTTAGTAACTAGTTCTTACAACTTAAATTAACCCATATGTTTTATGTATGCTCTATCATGTGGCAGTAACTTATCTCAGTACAGCATGCTCATCTTCCTTCTCTCTGTGTCTCCTTGAGACTTCATCCCCACCCCTAGCTGTTGACCATTTAGTCCTTTATTAAACCAATGAGAGCCACACATATTCACAGTATACAAAGAGATTGCTCCACAGAATTTCTCCCATTTTGTCTAATTAAAAAAGAAGGTTTTAACTTTAACATAATAAAACTATATGGTTGTAGAGGAGGGGGCTCGCTTGTTTGTCCCAACTGCCCAGCTAGCTCATACCCAAAATAACCACACAAAAACTGTATTAATTAAAACACTGCTTAGTCATTAGCTCTAACTTCTTATTTGCTAACTCTTACATATTAGTTTAACCCATTTTTATTAATCTGTATATTGTTACGTAGCAGTGGCTTACCAGAGATTCTAACCAGCATTCATCTCAGGCCGAGGATCCATGGCTTCTCTCCTTTTTTTTTTTTTAATTTTTTTAATGATTTATTTAACTTTTTTTTTAATTTTATGTGCATTGGTGTGAAGGTGTCAGATCTTGTGGAACCACATTTTCAGACAGTTGTGAGCTGTTATGTGAGTGTTGGGAATTGAACCCAGGTCCTCTGGAAGAGCATTCAGTGCTCTTAACCACTGAGCCATCTCTCCAGCCCCCATGGCTTCTCTATTGACTCTGCGTTTTTCCTCCCAGAATTCAGTTCTGTCTTCTCCACCTATCAGAAGAAGTTCTGCCCTATCAGGCCCAAAGCAGTTTCTTTATTCACTAACCAATGAAAGCAACACACAAACAGAAGGAACTCCTACACCATTTCCCCTTTTCTGTTTAAACAAAAAGGAAGGCTTTAACTTTAACATAGTAAAATTACATATAACAAAACAGTTATCAAGCAAGAATTACAGTTACAATATTTATATCTACTTTATCTTTTATCATAACTAAAGAAGACTATAACTATAACTATAAATTCTTCAACTCCATCAAAGACTCCAGAAGGATATTATATTACAAGTTATAATATTATAAGTAAACAGGAAGTGTATTATAAGCAACTTCCAAAACTCTAGAAATGACAGAGACATCTTGCTGCCTGGACAGTCACCCAAGTTCTTCTGTACCATTGGGGTATCCATCTTCAGCCTACAGGTCCATAGTATCCAGCTGACTTTTCCATGAAACAGGAAATTTCAAAGACAGTTCAGTCACTGTCTTCTGTATTCTGCAGAATGTCTCGCAGACTCTTTCATGAAGCAGGAACCCCGAAGGATCATCTCACCTTTAGGCAAGTTCAGCAGTCATTTCTCTCTGGGTCCTGTATGTCCAGTGAAGCAGTCCAGGCAAGAGCAGGTCTTGTCCAAATGTCTAACCAACTCCATAAGGAGCCTCTTTGATGCCCATCTTCCTCTTGGAGTAGCTGGTGCTGCCAGGAGCAGATGTGTCTCACTGTCTGAAAAGTCCTAAATTCTTAAACATTTTAAATGCCATATTCTGAAGGTCTCTGAAAGATTTGAAGAATACCTATCTAACTGAAATACTTCTCCTTACATCTAGAAAATCTAACATGACTACAAATTTGACTATTATAGATGATTATCTATTAACCTATATTTCTTAATTATACATTATATTTTTAAATGAATTACATAATTACAGTACCTTAATGAAGAGCAGAAATATATATATATATATATATATATATACATAACAAAATTGACCTTAAATTTCTATCAATAAACCAAGATCTATACCAAAGCAAATTATTCATCTCTATAGCATATCCCCCTTTAAATGTAAAAGAACATTTATAAACAATATTTGGGAATATGGACGCAGTTCTGTCCATACTGCTTCCTGCTGACTGGAGGCACTGTTAATCAGGTCTTTCATTGTGTATCCTGTGTGCTAGGTTCATCTCAGTCAGCAGTTAGGTGAAGAAATTTTTTGAGGGTGTTTAGGTCAACCTTTCAGGAGGCTTTGATCCATGAAACCATATTCGCATGGAGACAAACTACAGGTTCTTATCTTCTGTGAAAACAAAAGAAGAACCTCTTTTCCAAAGCAACTTATCCTTAGACTCAAACTTGGAAGTCATGATACCTTTATAATATACATGCTGGTTTAGCTTAGCAGCTCATACAATGAAATGTCTCTCTGTACTTAGCTCCTTAACAGTCAAAAAACTCAGAGAAAACACAATAATATACAGAATCCAGACTCTCTGAATTTTCATCTTTACTTGACTTATTTTTCTTTACTCCTTTTAATCTATGACTGTCTGTACTCTGTCTCTTTAAAGACTTCACCCTTTTTTTTTTAAAAAAAGCATTAACTTCATTTTATGACTCTCTATACTCTTTTTCTTCTATGAAGCCTATGTGTATTTATCCAACACTGTGGCCCATTTAGAGTTCTTTTATGTCTGAATCTGTCCTTATTGCGTTATCTGTAATTTTTTACTGATCAGAAGTGTTTCTTAAAATGCTAAGCACTCCTTAAAAACTTAAGCTGCGCCATTGCTTTGGTAATAGGTCAGTGTCTACTTCCCTGCCTAGTCCAGCATGGTGGAGCCACTGGCGCCTCTGAGCTATGCTGAGGCTTATGCACTGCCCCACTTCCAGCCACACTGTGAGTCCACGTTGCCATCAAGCAAGCCATTGCCCTTTATTCACAAACCCCCTCCAAATGCTTGGTCTTCCGAAAGAGCCAGAGGTCGTACTAGCAGCATAGCCCAGAAAGCCAGCAGTTTTAAGACTGCCCCTTTTTCCTGCTATGGCTGCTGAGTCAGGAAAATCTCTCTTAAAGGAACTATGGCATGCTGCCAGCAAACAGCAAAAATCTGTGTTAAACTCTCTCTATAATTTTCTTTTCTAGAATTCCTTTTTCAAGCCCTCTCAGGTTTTTACGTGGAGCGCCAATTGTTGTAGGGAGAGGGCCTGCTTGTTCTTCCTGGCGACATGGCTATCTTATCCCCGAAATAACCACACAGAAATTGTATTAATTAAATCACTTCTTGGTCCATTAGTTCTAGCCTCTTATTGGCTAGCTCTCACATTTTGATTTAACCCATTTCTATTAATCTGTATATCGCCATGTGGTGGTGGCTTACCAGGAAAGATTCTAACCGGCATCTGTCTCAGGCAGAGGATCCATGGCTTTTCTCTTGACTCTGCTTTTTTTCCTCCCAAAATTCAGTTCTGTCTTCTCTGCCTGCCTAAGTTCTGACCTATCAGGTCCAAAGCAGTTTCTTTATTCACTAACCAATGAAAGCAACACACAAACAGAAGGAACTCCTACACCACTATATACAAAAAAAAAAAAAAAAAAAAAAACAAACCAAACCAGTTATCAAATAAGAATTACAGTTACAATATCCAGTCCATTTGTATTTGGCAAATTTAGAGAAAATACTCTTTTATTCAGCCTGGTCTACATAGCAAGTTCCAGGATAGCCAAAGCAATATAGAGCAACTCTGTCTAAAACAACAACAATCCCCAAAATTCAAAGGAAAAGTTTCTTTGTTTGACAATAAGAAACAATTATTCACTTATATAGTGGATGTGAATGATTCTTAAAGTATTTCTTTTCTCTGCATCTGTCAATCATCCTATTACCACCTGTGCTGGGGGGCCCAAAAACCATCAAGAACAGGGCTTATTCCTAATGAGCTGTCCTAATGGCTTTGGGAAGTGTGGAATGCAAGCCAGCATGGGGTAAAGTAGCAGGATGAGCTTCCAGACTCTTCTCTCGGGGGAGTCACAAATGATGTGTGATTTCTTCCAGGAGCCAGTCATGACAACACATGAGGTAATGCCTACATAAAAAACTCATTAGAAACTCGGTGCCCAGGGACTTTATTGGGGATTTGGCCATCTTGCCAGTCCAATGTCTGGGTGTTTTTCTATTTTTGTTGACATATAATCATTAAAAGCACTTAACGTATATGATAATATATATCATAAGAATACATCATAATGAAATTTCAAAACCTGAATAAGGGCCAGGTGTGGTGACGCATGCCTTTAATACCAGCACTCAGGAAGCAGAGGCAGACAGATCTCTTGAGTTCTGAGTTTGAGGTTAGCCTGGTCTACAGCCAGAGCTATATAGTGAGACCCTGACTCAACAAAACCAAACCTGAATAAGATCCTGTAACCAGCATGTAAACGAAGAAAAAGTGAACACCAAAAGCACTCTAGAGTGGGTGAGATGGCTTAGCTGGTAAAGGTGCTTGCTGCCAAGCCTGAGAACCTGAGTTCAAGCCCCAGGCTCCACATAGTGGAAGGAGGAAATTAATTCCTTTACACACATGCTCACGCTCACACACACACACACACACACACACACACACACACACACACACGTCATACAAATAATGTTTCATAAGAATACTTCCCAGCAAGCTCTATGAACCTTCTGGTCACTGCTGTCCCCTGTCCCCTGCTGAGAAAACAAGTGATCCTGAGGGTTTTTTTTTCCCCCAGGTTTCTCTGTGTAGCCCTAGAATTCACTTTGTAGACCAGACTGGCCTCAGTTAACAAAGATCTGCCTCTGGCTCCCCAGTGCTGAGATTAAAGGCATGCGCTGTCATTCCCAGTGTGCTTTTCTTTGTTTGTTTGTGTTTTGTTTTTTTTTTCAAGATTTATTTTTATTTTATATGTATGTGTTTTTGCCTTCATGTATGTTTGCACTGTGTGTGTGTGTTGCCAGTAGAAGCCAGAAGAAAGACTGGATCCCTTGGAACTGGATCCATCTCCCCAGCCCCTACTATGATGTTTCTAGTAGGGATGTCTAGTAGTGGATATCTTTTAATTTAGCTCTCTTAGAAAATTCCTAGTATTTATTTATCATTCTAGTCCATTCCCTTTCTAGTGTTTTGGGCTCCAATTAGCATATTTAACTTTTCCTTACTGACTCTCCTGATTTGCAGCCCCCATCACGCATTTGCACTGTGCACTCTTTGGCAACGGTCATTATGTTTCCTCATTTAATTCACAGATTCTCTCCTCCATGGGTCATTAATCCCGGTTATTGAGTTGTCATTTTGTTGTATTTTTAAAATGCTTTTTAAATCATGAAATATAACCCATATATGGCCGAACAATGTTCTCAGTTGGGAACTCCAGCTGGCTGCCTTAGCTGGGCTCCCAGTTTCTGCTGATGTTGTAAGTGCCTGATTTGAAGATGGTTTGCTATCTGCTGTTGAATGATTTGTTCTTTTATTTTTTGCTTTGCTTGCTGTGTACTTCATAGGCCCACTCATTCCAAACCAAATACACGGCTTTCACAAAGCATTCCCCACAGAACACACACTTAATACTGTTAGTCATCTATGTAGGTTTCTATTTGTTAGCTTCCTGTTGTCTTTTATACTGTTTCTTCAAGTCTTTCATCATTTATTCTTTTGCCAGTCTTTTAGCAATTATATGAAATACTATACAACTTTAACTTACTAAAGTCCCCAAATGGCTGCTTTTGCAGTGAAGATTCTTAGGCGTTTTAACTGTACTTGTTCTGGGGTGGTCACCAGATTAGACTGTTTGGACATGGTTTAAGCCCATAGAAAGACTTTATTAGCCAGCTGGCAACTGTAATGGGTGTTCAGGATTCCAGTGTAACCCAAGCCTTTCTCAGGGTGAGTTTTTAAGCTCAAAAGCCACGTCCTGGGTTGACATACTTCAGCTAACAAGAGCAGTTAGAAGAGCAGAAGTACAGAAGCCAACAAACAAGGCTAGTACATTTAGAGACTTTCCTAGAGCTGCAGCCTTGTATGGACTGGAGCGCTTAGGTTCGGCAGGCGGTGCTGTCTGTGCTGAGGTTTGCAGCCTGAATGGCGCTTCTGCCAACTCTCCGTCTGTGGACATTGTCCCAGGATAACCAGACCTATGTAATGCAGATACTCATTCAAAAAATAAAACGTTTGCTTCCTGCTTCATAGCCATGATGCCCATATGTGTATAAGGTTTTTTCCTGTGTAAAACTGATAAACTGCCCATTTTCAAAATTGTCTTTTTTTTAAAAAACTTAAATACAATTTGAATGGGTGTCATATTACTCGATCACATATTCTAGTGTGCCACGCACCGCGCCCCCGTGTCTGCGCTCTGTGGACTAGACCCCAGTTCACGAGCTTCGGGCAAGGGGCTGAAGGTTGAGATGACATACACAGAGACAGACCGACACATGAACCTCCAAACGCTGGTTCAGAAAGCCCCCTTTATTAACACCATGTAGGCTTAAATACACTGCAGTCAATGGCCAACAGGTGATAATCCCATCCTCTGATCCTCTAAACTAGACACAGTTCCATCTGTCCCCTCCTTCCCTTTCTTCTTTCCTCTTTCATTGTGAGAGATGAACCCAGGACCTTGCTCATGTTGGTTAAGCTATCCATTACTGAGCTGTGTCCTCAGGCCCTTGAATGTTTTTAGTTTTATGATAATATAATACTTTTGGAGCAGCTAATGGTAAGAGGTTTATTTAGGGGAGAGGACAGGATTTTGCTGGGGGTAACAGAAATCCACCATGGTTCCTAATCATTTCTTTGTGTCATAGGGCTGAGTATAGAATTGAATTCTGTTAACCTTAATTTCTCTAAATTTGTAATTTCTGATTTTTTACCTAATGAAATTCTTTTTTTGTCTGATAAATTCTCTCCAGCAAGTGTCTGTGTGGTTGTTACTCTCTCCCTTCCCTTGTTAGTCTTTGGTGCCATTCGGTCCTGGGGATGCTTTTTAATGTTTTTTCTCATTGACTTTATTGTGTTCTCTGAGTGGAGGAACAATATGCTCTTTGCTATTTTAGAGCTCAAATGTTCTTTTACAGTATGCACTGTATGCATTGTATTTACGTATTTTCTCATACTAGCACCTTTTAAAGAGTAGTTAATTGCTCATAACTTGGCCTTCTAAAATTATTTTGCATTTTTTATAACAGCAACTGAGGCATGAAAATTTGGTGAATCTGTTGGAAGTGTGTAAGAAGAAGAAACGCTGGTACCTAGTCTTTGAATTTGTTGACCACACGATTCTTGATGACTTGAAACTATTTCCAAATGGACTAGATTATCAAGTAGTTCAAAAGTATTTATTTCAGATTATTAATGGAATTGGATTTTGTCATAGTCACAATGTAAGTATTATGATGCCTATTTTGCAAATCTTTGATTATCTAGATACTAGTAACTTAGTTTAATGAGATATTTGTTTTGAGTTTGAATTAGTAACATGATTGAAATGAATTGTATTATTCTGATATTGCTGATCTTCATGTGTCATATGACACATGAAAAATTTCTAAAAGATGGTATTTCTGAAAGAATAGTGGTAGGCCTGTAATGGTTTAGATAAAAGCGGCGTAGGTCCTTGAAGGGTGGCAGCCGGCAGCAACAGGGTAGGTGGGTTCTACCACCCAAGGCCTCTGTAGGTCCCAGGTGGATTGGAAGCAGCGGGTGAGAGACAGACATGAATAGGCATGTCATGCAGAGTGGATTATGAAGTGGGGAGAGAAGGGGAGGTAGAGGGAGTGGGGAGAGGAAAGGAGACCATAGCCACCTCTTTGGAAGAGAGATGGGCAGAGAGCAAGCAGGGTGGAAACAGAAGGAAGAGCTGATTGCCTCTGTGGACACAAGGGAGGGGAGTTGGCAGGGCTTGTCTCTTAAAGGGACAGGACAGACCATTATAAGGCCCTATTAAAAAGTTGAAAGGGTACACAATAGACATCCTATTCTCAGTAACTATATTATGCATTTAATAGTTTGTTGTGGTTATTTACAGTCTGTACACTAATTTTATAATCTCTGTTCATCTGTTAATTTATTAATCTCGAATACTGATGTATTTAAAGTAAGTTGCAGACATTAGTAACCTTTTGTACACAAGTTGGTTGATTGTGTGTGTGCCCATGTCACAGTGTACAAACTTACAGAGTCTGTTCTCTTCTACTGTGTGAATCTAGGGAACTGGGTTTAGGCTGTCATGCTTGGTGGCAGGTGCCTTTACCCATTGAGTCATCTCTCTAGCCCCGAAGAATGCTAGAATACTAAATACTTCACTTATAAACTAGACTTAAACATTTGTTCATTGGCCATTTTTCTTTTTAACATAACATTTGCTGAGTGGATTAGGAAAATTTGAAGACTATACCAAGTAGTATATGTTTTGCTGAATCATGTTTTCTTGCCTACTTGTAAAGTATGAGAGTATGAAAATCTCTGTTCTTCTCATCTAATCTATAGCAACATTTTTTTTTGTCTGTTGAATGTCATAGAAAAGCACCTACAGGGCATTAAATGAGTAACACAGCATATGCTTTTACAGTTTTACAAAATATTTTATATAATCTTTGTGATTATAGTCATCATAGGTGATAGTGGTGTATAGTTTGAAAACTGAAGATAATCCTTTGGTAAAGTTCTTGCTTAGTATACACAAAGTCCTGGGTGTGATTCTGAGCACCATAAACCAGTTATGGTGTGCATTTCAGGAGTCCCAACACTTGGGAGGTAGAGGCCAGGACAGTTGGCTAAGTAGCAAGTTGGAGGCCAGCCCAGGCCACATGAGACTCTTCTCTCAGCAAATATATGAGAAGGGGCTGGGGAGATGATGTGGCAGTCATGCGTGCTCACCACTCTTCCAGAGCCCTACACTGGGTTCCAGCACTCACATCAGGTGGCTTCAAACTACCTGTACTTCCACCTTCAGGAGCGCTAATGCCCCTCTCAGACCCTCACCAACATGCTCACATACAGAAACTACACTCAGACTGAAGCATAAATAAATAATAAGTAAAAGAAAAAATAATTTACCTGAACATGTGGTTGTTTTCCCTCTCTTATTTATCATCTTCAGTTTTTAGGGCCTTCTTGTTGTCTACTCTAATTATGTAGTTCAGGGTGACTATACCTTTGTATATGTGTATATAAATTATTCAGTAGAGACATCTAGTTTAGTTTGGACCTAGGGAAATATTGGCTTTCCTTATGAATCCCCTAAATCAATGATCCACTCTCAGAAAATTGATTTTGAGAAATACAGTTTTGACATTGTTTTTATAATGAAACTTCACATTAATCAAGCTCAGGAAACTGAATGCCAGCTTAATAAGTAAGAGAAATGTTGTCATAGGAGCAGACTATATGATATATAATGTGTTGGATATGCAGGAATTGGATCAATAGGAAGTTTTAGCGCATTAGTAATTGTTCTCATTGCTGTGACATAACCTCTGATCAGAGCACATAAGGAGGCTGGGCTGACCTGGTGCACATTTGAGAGTACAATCCATCCTGGCAGGGAAGTCGTGGTGGCAGAAAGGGAGGCAGCTGGTCACATTGCCTGGCAAAGTGAAGCTGGTGCTCAGCCTGCTTGTCCCTTTGACTCAGCCCAGGACCCCAGCCCATGGAATGGTGTCCCCCACATTCAGGATAGGTCTCACTTCAGTTAAATGTCTCTGAAACTGACCTTATGGACACAGACAAAGACTTGGCCCTTCAAGCTGATAGTCAAGACTTACTACCACAGGTACTGTCAGAGACATTGATGAATCCTTCTAATTAAAAGATAACCTCTCCAATACTAAGTGGCCAGCTCTAAAAAAATACATATCAGTAACATTATACAGACTAAATAGGTTGTATTTAGAAACACATATGTATATAACAACTAATAATTAAGGGGCCCCAAATTTGATAGCAAGGAGGAATATAATGGAGGGATTGAAGAGATGAAAAGAGGGAAATTATATACTTACAGTTTCAAAAAATTGAGAGAAATAATTAAAAACAAACAAACAAACAAAACCCCACAGTTTCTTCCCAGTGAGTCTAAAATACTTAGCTTTGGGTGAGTGCACTCTATGTTCATCCTGTCCTAAGAGCAGGATGACCAAGGAAGTTAGCCTATGGTGGTATCGTTAGCTGGCTCTCTCTCTCTCGCTCTCTTTCTCTCTCTCTGAGACAGGGTCTCTCTGTGTAGCCCTGACTGTACTGGAACTCACTCTGTAGACCAGGCTGGCCTTGCATTCAGATCCATCTGCCCTGCTTCCATTGTCTTGCTTTCTATTGAAGAATATTTCAGTGTATTCTGCTTATATATGCTTCTCTGTCCCTTTATTTTTTATATCCTTATGACTGACCAGCCTATATTTAACCATACAGCCTGTCTTCAAGGTACAGTGTTTAATATTTTAATATTGACTGCCTCTACAATTAGAGCATTTCTGTGTCTATATGAAAGGTTTTTTGTTTTCTCTCATTAAACTTGTTTTGTTTAAGTGGTTCTCAGCCTGCAGTTCTCGACCCCTTGGGGGTTGAATGACCCTTTTATAGGAGTCTCAGAAAATCATCAAAAAAACACAGATATTTACACCATGAGTCATAACTGTAAAGTTACAGATATAAAGGAGCAATGAAAATCATTTTATGGTGGGGCACATGATAAAGTGCATCAAAGGGCTGCAGCGCTGGGAAGGTTGTGAGCCACTGGTGTAAAATTCTCATTTTAAAATGGGTCTCAAAATTCTGTGACAGATTTTTGGTCAAGTTGTTTCGATTAAAACTGTCACATTTGTGCACATTCACACATGCATACACAAAAGATGGTCCATAAAACATACTTCTTTCGCATGGAGATCATGGGAGAGGATAAAAGGGGAGAGGAGAGGAAGGAAGGAGAGTGGGAAAAAAATATAGTTCAGTAAAAACAATAACCCCCCAAACGAAAAACACAAACAAACAAAAACAAACAAACACCATGCTCCTTTCCTTAGGCATTTCGAGAAGTTAGGGCTATCTTCCAGCTTCCTGCCAGAATGGCAATCACTCTTCTTTAAACTCCGCAAGCCTATAAGCTGTGTGAACTGTATGCCAGTGCAGCGCAGGGACTTAGGACTGATTTGACCCGGGGGTCCAGGATAATCACCTGAGCCGTGAAGCCAGCTGCTTCCATTGGTGGGTCGTTTTTGCTGTCACCAGCAACATTGCTATGTCTAACATATTTGACAAACGCATGCTGAACATTGAAGCTCACACTGTTCCCAGGAAGAGCTTCACTCAAAGTTTCATTGTCATTTCAACAGACCATGCTTCTGTTGTGACATTGACTGAAGCAAAGGTAACCACCCTGCAGGTCTGGGAATACCAGTCTTCCTTGACCCACAGGGACAGTAACAATGCTACCAATATTATAGACATCCTGGCGGGCCAGTTGCAAAGCTTCCATCAGTATGGTCCCACTGGCACTGCCATCTTTCTGGGTGACATTCTGTCCCTTGAGCTAAGGTGTATTATAGCGCTTGGCTCAGCACGTTGTCACCATTCCAACCAGAAATTGGTACAAATGCTAGTGTCAGGGTTGTAGCCAATTCTCTTTTTTAAAGTTAATCTTTAAATTTATTTTACATACCAACCAGTTTCTCCTCCCTCCTCTCCTCCCATTCCCTCCCTCCACTTCCTTTCTACACCCCCATCCACTCCTCAGAAAGGGTAAGGCCTCCCATGGGAGTCAACAAAGCATGGCATATCAAGTTGAGGAAGGACCAAGCCCCCCCCCCCCCCCCGCCCCGCATCAAGGTTGAATGAGGCATCCCATCATAGGCTATAAATAGGTCTCAAAAAGCCAGCTTGTGTGCCAGGGACAGATCCTGATACCACTGCTAGGGGCACCACAGACCAAGCTGTGTAACTGTCACCCACATGTAGAGCGTCCAGGCCAGTCCCATGCCAACTCCCTAGCTGGAGTCTGTGAGCTCCCACAAGTTCAGGTCAGCTGTCTCTGTGGGTTTCCCTGTGATGCTCTGATGTGCTGATTTCCTTAACATTACCTCCTGTCTCTTCTGGCTGTAGGATAGCTTAGTGAAATCTATTTTGTTGATTAGCTGATTGATGCCCAATGTTTAAGCCAGAAGGGCATGCTCAATGGTCTGCCCATTCTTAGAGATACCAGTTTCAAGTTCACCAACATCAGCCGTAATAATCAGGACAACACAGTCAGCATGAGCTTGGCCTGTAATCACGGTTTTGATTAAATCTCTGTGTCCTAGGCCACCAATGATAGTCACACCATATTTGCTGGTCTCAGACTTCTGCAGGGAGATGTTAGTAGTTATTGCAGCTCTCGTTCATTCAGTTTGCCCCAGACACAGGCGTACTTGAAGGAGCCTTCTCCTGCTTGGCAGCCTCCTTCTTAAACTTATTGGTGCTTTGCCAATTCCACCACATCTGTAGATTGGATGGCCAGTCCTGGTGTCTGGGCTGACTCTGCACATCCAGTAATGACGATGTTTCTATGAGTCTTTTTCTTTCCCATTTTGTCTTTGAATTAGTGGTGTTCTGATGGCAAACCAGTTATGAAAAAGAAATGTTCATTTTTGATGAGAGAACGGACTTCACTCTAATTATGAGTTTCGTCAAAGCAGTAGCATTTCCCAAGGTCACACTGCTTTTTCCTGCTCCACTCTCAAATCCTCCTAGGTTGTGTTTCTGTACCCTGCTTTCTCCTTACACTCTTATGCCTCTACTGCCTATTCCCAGCCCTCTGTAAGTGGAAACTATCACAGCACCCATTTCAGGGGGTTGTGTGTTAAAATTAGTTAAAGTGTGTAAAACTTCATGTAGTGCCTGACACATGTATGGTCAAGTGGTTGCTAACATATTACGATATTAAAAAACCTATCATAAAACTTATCTCTTCCATAAAAATTTTCCTTGACTACCCCTAGTCTTCAACAACATGTTTATTTCTTGGTCTTGACAGTAGTAATTGACTGAAAGTTGATTTGTTGGTTAATGGTATGTATTTTATTTAATAACTTTGCTGGTTTAGCTAATCCTTGCAACGTGGATGTTCTCTGCTGCCCCACTTGTGCTGTACTCTGACAGGAACAGCAGTGGTACCCTGCTCATGGCAGGCATCCCCCCCATTAATTTGTTTATCATATTTTATGCCCTCTGTGTGTGTTTTGTCTTAGATCATACACAGAGACATAAAGCCCGAGAACATATTAGTCTCTCAGTCTGGTGTTGTGAAGCTATGCGACTTTGGATTTGCACGGACATTGGCAGCTCCTGGGGAGGTTTACACTGACTATGTGGCCACCCGATGGTACCGAGCTCCAGAACTGCTGGTTGGTGACGTCAAGTATGGCAAGTAAGAGTCAGGAATGAGGGCGCAGATGCGGAGTCAAGAGTGGATGTGTCTGTAATGAACGATCCACTTAACACTGAAAGGCAGGCTTGGATTCAATTTTTAGTGAATGGTTTGTAACAATCCCTAGTACATTCTCTTTGGAAGTTCTTTTTAAAATTTCCTTTGAGGACTGGGTGGCTCAGTGGAGTCCTTGCCTGCTGCAGTGAGATCCTGGTTTTGTTTTACAGGATGCCAGGACAAACCAACAAAAAGTTAGTGATATCCTGAGATAGATATACTTACTTTAAAGGGAAACTGAGTTATTTGAATGGTCAGAAAGAAATATATTTGTTAGTGTCTGGAGGGATGGTCCAGCAAGCACAGATGGCACCTGAGTTTCCAGCACCCACTCTGGTGGCTCGCAACTGCCTGCAGCTCCAACGGCAAGAGTCTGATGCCCTACTCTCCTTGGGCACTTGCACATATGTACATACCCTCATGCATGTACACTTAATTTAATTAAAAGTTAAGCATGGTGGGGTAGCACACGCCTTTCATCCCAGCACTTGGGAGGCAGAGGCAGTTGGATCCTGTGAGTTCAAGGCCAGCCTGGTCTACAAGAGCTAGTTCTAACACAGGCTCCAAAGCTGCAGAGAAACCCTGTCTCGAAAAAACAAGAGAGGTTAAATATTGATTAGAGAACTTAAAGTTATGAAGGGCAACATAAGGGTAAAATATTATTTAAAGATTTTCAAAATGTAAGTTGTCTTTATCAGAGGGGAAGACTATAAATTTTACTTTTGGCAGAAATTTTCCTAAAATATTATCTATAATTTTTGATGATATTAGACATCCAGTAATCTTTTTTGAATTATTGAGTTTTCATTTTACTTCACTGTTATAATTTTTGTAATATTTTATAATTCAGCCATGACTGGGCAACTTCAGAGTCGCTGGCTCTATGCTGGCATGTTATTTTAGTTCTGACTAGTGGTTATCCTGTTGTCAGTGACCACTTCTTTCCTCTGTTTAGCATCCTGAGAGCTACCCTGAGTTAGAGTGAGCACTGAAGGGCTGGAGAGTGCACAGGCGCTCAGCGGCAGCTGCAGAGCCCTATTTTCAGAATAACGGACACATGGCCAGTGTGGCTTTTCAGGACCTTTCTCCCTTAATATCAGATGGTTGAAGCTTCTAGGTTTCTCACATATTACAATAGAGGGTTTAAATTCTTACCGAGAAATGACTTTAGTGACAAGGTTGACTTCTGTGCCTCTCAGTGCCAAGAAGTTACAGGCACAGGAAAGGTGTCAAGGTGCCATGTCTTACATCACCTCACTTTTTTTTTTCCAGGGCTGTTGATGTCTGGGCCATTGGTTGTCTGGTCATTGAAATGCTCACGGGGCAGCCCCTATTTCCAGGAGAATCCGATATTGATCAGTTACACCATATTATGACATGTTTAGGTAAGAGTATACATCTGTGATTTAAATTTTATAGTTTTTTTTTCTGTGTGTTTCTTGTTATGATGCCTTAAAGATGATGCTTATTTATGCTGGGTGATGGTGGCTCACGCCTTTAATCCCAGCACTCAGGAGGCAGAGGTAGGCAGATCTCTGTGAGTTCGAGGTCACTCTGGTCTACAAGAGCTAGTTCCAGGACAGGCTCCAAAGGAACAGAGAAACCCTGTCTTGAAAATCCCCCCCCCAAAATATGATGCTTATTTTAGGTGTAAGTAGGAAGCAAATAGGAAGCACACATATGCACACACACACATGTACACATACTGCACATATACTCATGCACACACAGAGACACTCATTGTACATTCATGCGCACACACATTTATATACATATTTACATACATAAACACACAAACATGTATGCACGTGTGTGTGCACACACTTTGCATCTCTAGCAAGACTGGTTAGTGTAAGAAAAGGGGGTGATTGTGGAAGATAGGGAGAATCATAAATCTAATAGGCAAGAAAATTTAAAAAATTATCTTAGCAAGGAATGTATTAGCATACAATCAGCTACCTTGATGTTGCTCAAAGCCACTGCTGATTTTAAAATTCTACAAAAATTATAATAAGACAGTGTAGTGAGAGTTCAGAATAACTCAGAAATGTTGCTAACCTTGAGCCTGGTTCTGAATCATGCTTACCTCCAGCCCCCCTAGAAGGAGAAAATGTGATCATCCCTTTTTATCTATTGAGTCAGTGAGCATTTGGTGAAATCCAGCTATCCTCTTCATCCTCATCTTCGTCTCTAGGATAAGATGAGAGACACAAAAACTTAGGAGATAATGTTGTCTTGCATTTTATTTTTGTCTTCTGTTTTCTGAGACAAGGGTCTCACTGTGTAGCCCAGGATATCCCCAAACTCTCCATCCTTCTGCCTAAGTTTCTCCAGGGCTATGACTACAGGTGTGTGTCACCGTGGCTGTGACTGCAGATGAGCGTCACCATACCTGTGACTAACGTCTCCAGGTTTTGTCTTTCATTCCTAGTTCTTTGGATGAAATTCCAAAGCTAGACTCTGAGCCTTATGTTTGCTGGAATATAAAATTTATATTCTAAGATTTTAAAATGGAAATAATAGGAAGATACTTGGGATAATTTAATTATTTGGTTTTAAGTTCTAAGACTAAGAATTTGTTAAGTATTATATGATTTCTTAGAGTAGAATTTTCATATTACTGCTGTATCACAGAGAGGAGGGAGGAACAATAAAGAGGTTGCATCTGAATATGTACATTATTTTTTTCACTATTTCCTCAATATTGTACTTATATAGTATTTACAGTGTATTAGTATAATAAAAAGTTCATAAAATTTAACTTTTTAAATTATATATCTCATGATATAATAGGTATTAAAATTGAAAAAGATTAAAATGCTCAAATTTGAATTTAGATATAGGTACACAACCTGAATAAAAGGAGCTGGTTTATCTAAATTAGATTCTCTGTCTGTGTGACTCTGTCTTCATTGTTCTGGGGACATGATAGTTTTTACTGTTAGACAGAAGCAGAGTACTTCATTTAGAGGGACAAAACTATTTTCTACCTGTCCTTCCTGTTTCTTCACAAGTCTTTAATTTTCTAGATGAATATGTTAGAAAAGCAGTGTTCGCTTTTTTGAGCTGTCTTATGTCAAACCCACTATAAAGACTTTCAAGTTCTTTAGTATAGCAGGTCTGTCTAGGCTGATCTTGCACACAGAGTCCCTCTATTTTTACAGTAGCAGGTCTGTCTGGGCTGATCTCGCACACGCAGAGTACTACTGTCAGCTGACTGTTTTCACTGCTTCCCTACGTTACCGTCTCTTCGCCATTTCTGTCGACTATTACTGACGAAGATGGGTGCTGGGTTTTTCCCCAGGTAATTTAATTCCAAGACACCAGGAGCTGTTTTATAAAAACCCCGTGTTTGCTGGAGTAAGATTGCCTGAGATCAAAGACACAGAAAGAGAACCCTTGGAGTGCCGCTATCCCAAGCTCCCTGAAGTTGTAATAAATCTAGCAAAGGTAATTGTCCTTTTCCTTCTTTGTGATAGGAAGTGTGTATAGTGTGGAGACTTGGTTCATGCATGTGCTCCCCTCCTTCCCCTCCCTTGCCTCCCTCCCCTCCCTCCCTCCTTCTCTCCCTCCCTCCCTGCCGTCTTCCTTCCCATTCCCCTTCCCTACTTGATCTTTTAGGTCAAAAGTTTCCTTGGACAGACTGCTTCTTAGGAACTTGTGCATTCATTTACATCTGCAGACACGGAATGCTGGGTCTCATTTGTGACATAACAGCCACTGATGGTCACTTTTGTGATTTGTGCTGTCTTCTGTTCATTGGGTAGAAAGAAGAAATCTAAATGTAGACAGCTGTTCTTGAAGAAGACTTGTATATGTTCTTGATTTTTCAGAAATGCTTGCATATTGACCCAGACAAAAGGCCCTTCTGTGCTGACCTTCTACAACATGATTTCTTTCAAATGGATGGATTTGCTGAGAGGTACAGTACCATAGTGCTGGCCTCTGCTCTGCAGGCCGCAGGAACAGGGTCAGAGGGAAATCTGCTCCACAGTCTGTGTCGCCCTCGCAGGATGTCAGTTATCTGTGTCCTGCTCCATTCACCCGGAGTGGCAGCAGAATTCCTAGGGGGTGGTTTCCTGTGTTCCTGGAGCTGCAGGTTTTCACGAAACAATCTCTTCCTTTTCTTCTTCTGTCTTCTGAGATGACACCCACCATTCCGGTCACTAATTCCTATGTTGCTGCATCTGTGCAGTTGCCATCTCCTGTTGCTGCCAGACTCATGCCACACCTGGTCCAGTGATGCTGCCGATCATGCCAATGTGCTGATGCGCTAGTCCTTAAGGTGCCAGGCTTGTAGATGCCAGTGCTGCTGGCATGGTTCCCAGTGCTGCTCCAGATGTTGGCATTAGCTCAGCTGACAGAACAAGAACCAGGAGAAAAGAGGCTGTGACAGTGCTGTGTATCTGTTATATATGGACAGCATAAATATATATATTTACTTATGTCTTTGCATGTGTATCTGAATTGTGTATGTGCATTTGAATGGATGTGCTCTTGGGGGTCAGAAGAGGGCGGCAGGTCCTTAGAACTGGAGTTACAGGCATGGTTTCCAGCATGGGTTCTGGGAACCTAACTCAGGTCCTCTGCAAGGGTAGTTATTGCTCTTAATCTCTGAGCCATCTCTCCAGCCCACAGTGCATTCTTAACTGCTGAGTTATCTTTCCAGCCCTAAAGATTCATCATTTTACAAATCTCTTTAAAAATCTAGCTTAGTAGATGATATCTGGATTCTTATATTTGCTTCTATAGTCATTAGTGAGTACCATAGTATGTTATTTTAGTTGCACAAAACAAATGTATATCTAGAAAAGTAGAAAAGTATATTAATAGTTTTTTGAAGTGATTTAGTTTTCTTTGATTCTATGTCAAACTTTAATATTATACCAAAACCTGGCATTGTTAGTTTCTTCCTTTTCTTTCCCCTTTCTCCTTCTCTCCCTTAATTCCTTTCTTTTTCTCTTCTTCTTATTTTTATTATTCAAGGCAGGGTCTTACACTGTACTTCTGGCTGATCTGAAACTCACTATGTAGCCTAGGTTCCTCCCAAAGTCAGTATTCTCCTGCCTTGGCCTCCCTCCGCCCGTGTGCTGGAATTTACAGGAGTATGACACCATGCCCATGTGTTTAAATAAAGGAACAGCTGTAGTAGTTCCTTTATTTAAAATTGACCTTATGTTTATTTGTTTGTATGTATATATGTGTGTATGTGTGCCTTTGTCTGTCATGTGTGTGTGCCCATAGATGCAGAAGTTTGTGTTAGATACCGTGGAGCTGAAGTTATAGGCAGTTGTTAGCCATGCGGTGTGGGTTTCGGGAAGAGCAGCAGGCACTCTCACTGGTGGGCCCTTTCTCCAGTCCTCTGTGGTGCTTTCTAAAGGACTGGTTGCGTTGTGAAATTTAAACCATGCCAATGACTTTTCCTTCTCTGTTGATTAAAATCCATTTTTGTCTGATCTTCTGAATTGATGTTTTATCTGTGCATGCTTTATGACATACTTTCATCATTTGAAGCACATTGGCAACACTGAATTATGTGACCCTTAAAAATGTTGGTATGTCGGGGGCTGGAGAGATGGCTCAGCGGTTAAGAGCACTGACTGCTCTTCCAGAGGACCTGGGTTCAATTCCCAGCACCCACATGGCAGCTCACAACTGTCTGAAAATCCAGTTCCAGGGGATCTGACACTTTCACACCAATGCACATAAAATAAAAGATAAATAAATCATAAAAAAATTAAAAAAAAAATGTTGGTATGTCATAATATAATATCAAAAATTATGCTCCGTTTTACCAGAAAAATTTGAACTATGGGAAGACCGCTAAGATCCCAAGTTAATAGAGTTGTAATTTCTTACATGAAAGTGTGAATTTTATTGTTTACAGAAATATTATCAGTTTCTTTCCTTGCAATGACTAGCTCACCTTGTTCATTTTCAAAGCAAAATGTCTGCTACATACCCATCTAAATAAGCATGGATTTTCAGTTAGTCTTTCAAGTGTAAATATTACATGAAAAACTTGTGTGGCTTGACCTGTGCTTGGGTAGCCAGTCATTCAAGTGCCTTTGAGTCAGCCACTAGAGATCATAGGAATTTCTCTTCTCATCACACAGAATCTGAAGAGAGGTGTTCATGGATTTGTTTCACTTTAATAAAATTAATCCTTTCACTGCTTCATTGTGAGCATCCGAAAGTGGCCCCCCGACACACACACAAACTCAGTGTGACTGTGAGGAGCACCGAGTGCTAGCCTGGGTCGGTGCAGGTGTCTCAGTTCTTGGTGGGATGCCAGCAGCCTCATCCACATTGTTTGCCGCCATCAGGACCAGTGTTTAGGTGGTCCAGACATTCTCCTGCTCAGAGTCCTGAAGACTCTTCCCACACCCAAAGGCTTTTCGAAACTGTTCATATGGAATGTGATTTTTCTCATTTTAAATAAAATGGATTAGGTTAACACTGAATCTTAAATGATTATCTTGATTTTTTTCTAGGTTTACCTTTCTCATATAATTTTATTTTAATTGAGACATGTACTTTTATATAGGTTTTCTCAAGAATTGCAGTTAAAAATAGAGAAAGATGCCAAGAATAATTCTTTACCCAAAAAATCTCAAAACAGAAAGAAAGAGAAAGATGATACCTTAGGTGAAGAAAGAAAGACGCTTGTGGTCCAGGTAAGTGTTCATGTTTAAGGTTAAAATTTATGGAAGAAAATGATGATTTAATTTTGTTTGTTTGTTTTTCAGGACAGGATTTCTCTTGGAAAAGAGTATCTTTTGGAACCTGTCCTAGAACTCGCTCTGTGGACAAGGCTGGCCTCAAACTCACAGAGATCTACCTGCCTCTGCCTTCCGGTGCTGGGATTAAGGGTATGCCACCACCGCCTGGCCGAAGATTTAAGTTTTTAAAAATTAGATGTATTCACTTTATTTTATATGTGAATGTTTAGCTTTGTGTATGTGAAGCACATACAGGCTTGGTACCTGGGGGTCAGAAGAGGGCATTGGCTCCTCTGAAATTGGAATTTTGGATGGTTTAGAGCCATCATGTGGGTGTGAGAAACAAACCCTTGTTTTCTGCAGAGCAGAAAGTGCTCTTAACCACTGAGTCGTCCGTCTCTTCCACCCAATAATGAAGATTTTAAAGTTTTAAAACACTGGGCAGGGCTGGAGGATTGGCTCAGTGGTTAAGAGCACTGACTGCTCTTCTAGAGGTCCTGAGTTCAATTCCCAGCATCCACATAGTGGCTCACAACCATCTGCAATGAAATCTGATGCCCTCTTCTGGTCTGCAGGCAAAATACTGTATATATAATAAATAAGCTTTTAAAAAATGTAATTAAAAAAAAACCATACACACACACTGGCCAAATTGTCAACTTGCAAACTGGTTGAAAAGCCAAACAAGCAAAAAGATCATTTCTTTCCTGTAGACACTACCTTAAATAAAAACCCTTAGCATATTCTGTTTTAAATGCTCAGCAGTACTAGAAAGTACATTAGTGTTCTTTGAAAGTCACCTTACATAAAATAATGACTTGTAGACATAAGGAAATGGCATATTCTGGGCCAAGGATGAGTTACCATGCCCCAGGAACATGACTTTTAGGTATCCTGAATGACATGTTTTGCTGTGAGAACTTTATAGCCACAGAACAAAGGTTGCTAAACACACTGGTAGGTGTCAGGTAGGTAGACTACCGCAGGAAGTCCTTCTGTGCTTTTCACATGTTAGTTTACAGCCTTTAAGTTTTGTTAGAGGCTAGAGGTCCACTGTGCTCAGTAATATAATCTAAGAGTTTACCTGATAGTCTTGAGGAAGCTGGGTCAGCCACAGAATTTAAATGCTGTTAAAGGGACTAAGATAATCCAAGGTAATGTTGTCTTCAGACCTACATCTGTCTCTCCACAGCCACAGTTTCTCATCCAGAGTCAGTCTGCAAAATCTTTACTATAGATGCAGCCTCTGCAGAGTTTTACATCCACTCATGCATCTAAGAACTCTGGGCATCTCTGTCCATGTCCATGCAACACTGGGGTGCAAACACATGCACACCCAGGGACAAGCACTCCCAACTTAGTCTGCTTTCCTTTCTTAATAATAGAAAATGAAAATATTAGTTTCAGAATTCTTATAACATTTTAAATTTGTGATTCTGATAGTTAAAAGTTTACTTTTCAGGTTGGGCAGTGGTGGCGCACGCCTTTAATCCCAGCACTCAGGAGGCAGAGGCAGGCGGATCTCTGAGTTCGAGGCCATTCTGGTCTATAAGAGCTAGTTCCAGGACAGGCTCCAAAGCTACAAAGAAACCCTGTCTCGAAAAACAAACAAACAAACAAAAAAACCAAAAACCAAAAAAAAAATAATAATGTTTCTACTATTATCAAGTGCAACAAAAGAAGAGTTTTCAATTTTATGCTCTCTGACTCAGAATATGTAAGAGCCAAAAGCAGCAATCTCTGTTCGTCTTCCATGTTTTCCTCCCTACTGAAATGTATACGCACAGCCACAGGCCTGCCTCTCTCTGTCTCTCTACCATCTATGTACCATCTATCCACCATCTCTCTGTCTATCTGTCTATCCACCATCTGTCTTTGTGTCTGTCATCTATCCATCATCTAGCTACATACCTACCTATCATCCATCAAGTTGATAATGCATCAAATAAATATTCTTGTATTATTACAATAACTATTTGAATAAAAATCTTGATTTTAATTCCATAGGTAGAATAAGGGTGTGAAGTTTCTTGTGAGATTATTAATGTTTTAATATCTTTATCAATGTTCAGGATACTAATGCTGATCCCAAAATGAAGGATTCTAAAGTGCTTAAAATAAAAGGGTCAAAAATTGATGGTGAGAAAACTGAAAAAGGAGGTAGAACTTCAAATGCAGGCTGTATCCATGACAACGGGACAAGCCACATCAAAGGCTTGCCTTCCACAAGCCTCAGAGACTGCAGTAATGTCAGCATTGATCACCAAAGAAACCCAGGCATGGCGATTCCTCCGCTCACACACAATCTTTCTGCAGTTGCTCCTGGCATCAATGCTGGGATGGGGACTATTCCTGGAGTTCAGAGTTACAGGTATGAATGGAAGATGAGACCAAAATGCTAATTTGTTCACATGATTTTACTGTCAGAATTCTGACTGCAATTTCTACTTATAAAGTAGCCGTTTAAATATGATGATCTTGTGATAAAAATTATTAGAGTTTGCTAGGAAAAAAAGGGAAAGAATTCACCTAAGTCCTAAGAAAGTATGGCCTTACTGTTGTTTATGATAAAGAGAATCTATAGCTGTTTAATACATGCAAGACTGTCTTTAATAAGAGGACTAACTGGAGTGGTGGTGAGCATGCAGTGTCATCATAAGGTGCTCCTTCCGGCTTGTTCCTGAAAGGGGCAGCTGTGGGAAGCCTGAGCAATGTCAGAAGAGGCAGGATATTTGATCAGACTTCTGTGCATTGTGTACTTGAGAATAGGTATTAAATTGCATATCTTTTAGCATGATGTTGTTGATTTTGTGTTTGAATAAAATAATTATTAATGATTCTAACTTAACAATTTGTTACAGAGTGGATGAGAAAACTAAGAAATACTGTAATCCATTTGTTAAAGCAAGCCAACCTTCCCCATCAGGGATCTATAGCATGAATGTGACCACATCTGTAAGTAACTGTTCTCAGCAGCAAAAGAGCAAGCACTCATCATCTCCAGACCTGCACTGGTCTGAGCGTGAGAATGAAGAATTAAGAGTTTTATTTGGAGACACAGAGTGAAATCTGAATTATACAATACCATCCTAACTTACGACAGCTGTAATTTGAAATTCAGGTTGTTTAAATAAATTTAGGTCTGAATGAAAGATTCTCGTAAGATGAAATCTCATTTTTCAGCAACATAAATACATTTTTAACCTAATGCTTGCAGTTGAGTTCTTTTTAAAGAGCAAACAAGAAGATACTTTGACTTATTATCTTACTAGATTTTTAGTGAAAGTATTTTATATAATCACTTAAGAGCCATCTATGATCATTCTATTGTATGTAAGACACTAGAACTGAATTGACTCTATCTTTATGGCACACATGATCAGCACAGCAAAAACATGATGGCAGGTCGGGTGGCAGTGGCACACACCTTTAATCCCAGAACTTGGGAGACAGAGGCAGGCATATCTCTGTGAGTTCGAGGTCTCCCTGATCTATAGAGCTAGTTCCAGGACAGTCAGGGCTGTTCGCGCGTGCACGCGCGCACACACACACACACACACACACACACACACACACACATAAAACCCTGTCTTGGAAAACCAAACAACCAACTGAGCAACCAGCCAAGCACAGTGGCAGACTTGAATGTGAGAAGCATGTATATGCTTCAGAGATAGTGTGGGTAGGAGCTTCATTGCTCTCAGCCAGGACCATACCAAGTAGTCCACCTTTTCGTTCTGATTAGAACTATTGGCCTCTATTCTCTATGTAAAGACCAGAGTCCTTCTAGGTATTTTTGTATGAATCAAGTCCCTAGCCCTGTATTCCATCTCTGTCTATTATGTTCCTCGATCGGTTCCAACTTGAGATTTCCCTTTTACTTTTATATGATGGCCAGATATACTGATGTCTTTGGGCTTTTACACTTACTGCTTCTCCTTTAGAACATTATTCCCCTAGACTATCCGACAGATGCTTTTTGTCCTCTTTAGTCCATAAAGAAGATTTTGAGAACTTCTTTATTATTAAACTTATTTAAATATGGCATCTAGTCCTCCATCACTGTCTACACCCTTTTCTTACCTAATTCTCCTCCACTGTGTATGCCCAATACCCTCTGTGTGTTAATAAATGTATTGTCTATCTCTTTGCAATGGAAGGTTAGCTTCTAGCTCAGTGATTTGAACTTTCGTTTTCCTCACTGATCCCATCAATTACAGGATGCTTAGCCTGTTAAAGCTGCCTGAGAGGGTTCGCGGTATAGGTATCAAAGACTGAGTAACAAGATTATACCGAGACAGAAAACTTGGGGGTTGGATAATGTATATGAAGACCAACTAGTCACAATTAAGGTCAAGAACATCAGCTGTTTGCTGAAAAGCCCAGGCGGTGTAAGACTGACCCTGCTGGTTAAAGAACCAGGATGGCAGGCCCATCTTCTGCTGCCTGTTGCTTGCTGGGGCTTCCACTGAAGATTGGCAAAGAGGAGAAAAGTAGAGAACAATCAGTTTTTGTACTTGTTAGCAAGTCTGATAAATTGACTGGTGAAACTGTTTTCTGTGTCTGTAATGTCCAGCCCTTGAAATCCCACATCTGAGGATATGAATATAGTAGTTACAAGAGAATGAAAGCCTAGCTTACCTCAGAGCTGATGTGTGCTCATCATTCTGATAACCAGGTCTCTAGTGAAAAGTACCTCCTTCAGGCAAGTAAGAAAAGGAAGGAGTATTCCAAAGCGGATGTGCGGCTGCCTGAACTGAACTATAATCATCTCCCGGAACTGAGAGCTTTAGAAGGCTTAGGTATGTTTATATGCCTCTACTCTTTTCAGCCTTTTGTTTATGTGTCTAAATTGTAAACTAACAATGTTAAAAATATGTAGTGATGTGCATACTTAAGTAGACTAATGTGTTTTCTCATCTATAGTAGTGCTTATATGGAAAACTACCAAGTGGTGGTGGTGTATGCCTTTAATCCCAGCACTTGGGAAGCAGAGGCAGGAGGATTTCTGTGAGTTCAAGGCCAGCCTGGACTACAAGAGCTAGTTCCAGGACAGCCAGGACTGTTACACAGAGAAACCTTGTCTCAAAAAACAAAACAAAACAAAAAAAGTGAAAAACTAATAGTGCCTAATTTTTTTATTATGTTTTTTGATTCTTTCTTATCTAGCTCGAAATTCTAGGCTAATAAAGAAGGAGAACAAATCTCTTTCAGAGTCTCGAATTCCCTCCCTGGCTGCTATTGACCTGCATCCTTCCAGTATTACCTTCCACCAGGTACAGAAACGCTCGTCGTAGACACAGCTCAGGTCTCTCTCAGATTTAATGTGTTGTAGGGGGAATTTGCCCTCAGGAATTTGGAAATTTTTTTTATGGGTTCTGTTTTGTTTATAAGTTCATTACACATAGAACTTTATTACACATGCATTTACCGTTACACTTATGGATTGAGGTAATTCGTTCTTCAGTTTGTGAGATGTTCCTGAGTGCCTTGAGGTGCACCACCAGTTGATTTATTTGATATCTCTCATGAACACGTCTCACAATCTACCCTCCTCTCAGGACTGCCTTGGCTGTATCTAGAGGTGCTAATAGGATGCGTTTCCATTAGCATTTGTCTCGAGGAATTTTATAATTTCCTGCCTGATTTTTTTAGATGACACAATATTCATTCAAAATTCTGTAGTTTTCTTGCTGTTGATTTCTAGTTATTGTATTATGGTCTGATAGGAGATAAGTAATTACCTCTTTTTGTTGATGTTATTTTATTTGTTGAAATTTGACTTGTGTCCTCTGGTGTGACCAGTTTTGGAGAAGGTTCCGTGTACTGTTGGGTACAGTATTCTCTTTATATTTTGTTAAGTCCAGTTCATCTGTAGTATATTTTAGCTCTGAAATGTCTTTACTTGTTTTTGGTTTGGAAGACCTATTTAAACGTGAGAGTAGAATATTGAAATATTGCACTATTTTGTTTATTTGTTTTAATTTTTTTTTTTTTGAGACAGGTTTCTTTGTGTAGCTTTGGAGCCTGTCCTGGAACTTACTCAGTAGACCAGGCTGACTTGGAAGTCACAGAGATCCGCCTGCCTCTGCATTCCGAGTGCTGGGTTTAAAGGTGTGCGCCACCACTGCCTGACTAAGTACTCCACTATTATTGTATCAAGATCTATGTGGTTCTTTATGTTTTTTAGTTTCTGTTTTATGAAATTAAGGGCTCTAACACTTTTACAATTATAATTTTTGTCTTTTGATGAATTATTTCTTTTGGTAATAGGTAGTATCCCCTTTTATCTTTTCAATTAGCTTTGGTTTGAAACTTACTTTATGATATAAGGATAGCTATGCTGGCTTATTTACATTTTACTTTTCCTTGGTAGTTTGTTTTCTGTTCTTTGATATTGAATTTTGGGGTATATTTGCTGATTAGGTGTGTTTGTTAGAGACAGGCTATAGATGGTTCTTGGTTTTTAATTCAGTCCCTCAGTCTGCATCACATCGGTGGTGAACTGAGGCCTCTTGCACGTATGGGTGCTGTGGAAAGGGGTTTCTGTTTCTTGTGGTCGGTGATGTTTTGTTTTGCTGGACTGTCCATATTTCTTCTCCTGCCACCATGTTAATTCTGAGAATTTGCTAAGTTACTGTGTTGGATATGGTTGTTTCTTACCCCAGTCTAGTTTGTTTATCTACAGTTAGACTATCTTTTTTTGTTTATTTTAAGACAGGGTCTCTCTGTGTAGCCCTGGCCATCCAGGAACCTGCTCTGTAGACCAAGCTGGCCTTGAACTCAGATCCACCATGTGCACCACTGCCCAGTTTAGTTAGGGTATCCTTTGTTTTCCTCTTTGCAAAGAATCCCACAAACTTTCTATAGTATAGGTGTGGCTGCCATGGATTTCCTTAATTTGTATTTCTCTTGAAACACCGTTATTTCTCCATCAGTTCTGAGAGATAGTTTGCAGTGTCCAGCATCCCCAGTTACTGTTGTCTACTCCATGTACTAATGGCTCTACAGTGCTAATGAGGGTCTGGAGTAATTCTGACATTTCTGCCTTTGTGCTGCTTTTAAGACTATTTCCCTACCTTGTATTTTGACACCCTCACTATAATATGTCATGGAGTGTTTCCTGTCTGGTTAAGTCTGTGTGGAGTTGTGTGTGCCTCTTGTGTTTGGAAGCCTATGTCGTTCTGTAAATTTGGGTAATTTTCTAGGATAATTTCTTTTTGTGCAGTACCCTCCCTCTCCCAGCACCATGATAATGTGACTAAATACTTGTGTCTGTTCCATTCAATTTTACCGCTGCTCCTTCTGCTATCATGTAAATCCTCAGCTTTAGCCTCTTGAATGTGTCTCAGACTTCTTGGAAGTACATTTATTCTCCTAATCCACCTCCTTATACTTATGTGCTTGTATTGTCATCTCAGAGTCTGTCCACTCTGTCTTCTGAGATATGACTTCTTACTCACCTGCACCTCGCTGGCTAGGCTCGTGGCCAGCGGTCTCAGGTAGCCACGTGTCTCAGCCTCTCCAATCTGAGATTATAAGCGTGTGCTGCAAGTCCAGTTTCCTTTTTAAACATAGATTCTGGGGACCGAACTCAGTTCATCACGTTCGCAGGAGCTTCATCGCCTGAGTTCTCTCCCCTCCCTTAACGCACGGTTCTGTTGTTAGCCCAGACGACTAGATCTTAACAGCAGGTCCTGTTTCACCCCGCCCCTCCTGGTCACTGGTTCTTTGTTCTCTCACAGCCTCTGCCTGTGCTTTCCTTTCCTTTGTGTCACAGCTGTGATGCCTTCTTTGGTTTCCGCAGATTTTTGCTTTTGTTTTGGGATGAGTGGGAGAGATTGGTTTGTAGTGGGTCATGGCAGGTCAGAAGTATGTCCTCTTTGTACATGGTTTTTTTGGGACTGAGTAGCCCCGTCTGGCCTTGAACTCAAAACCCTCTCATCTCTTCCTCTCTAGTGTTGGGATGACATCTAGCTACAAAGTGTCTTTAAAAATGTGTTTATTTAGTTTTATATGTATGAATGTTCTGTCTGCACATATGTATTATACCATGTGTGTGCCAAGTCAGGAGAGGGGTCTGAGACCCTGAAACTGGACTAGAGTTATGTATGTTGTGAGCCACTATGTGAGTGCTGGGAATTGAGTCCAGCAAGTGTTCTAAACACCAGGCCGTCTCTCTGGCCTCGCCAGCGTCAGCCAGGTGTGCCAGTGCTTGCTGTTGTCCCAGCACTTGGGAATTGGAAGCCAGAGGGTTGAGAGTTCAAGGTCACTTGGCTAGATAACAAACTGGAGGCCGGCTCTGGCAGCACAAAACTGTCTCAGAACAAACAAACAGAATGTGTTTAAACATAGGAATAGGGCCTCTTACTTCATCCTTTCTGTAAGAGCAACTTCAGCTGCGTGCCCTGAGTGTCTGTGTCTGAACTGACATAATCCGAATTCTTGGGTAGAGGGAGTCTTGCAGCTACTGGACACCTATAATGCTTTCTTATCATTCCTAGGGATCAGGATCGCCCCTGTCCGAGGATTCTGAGGGCGATCTGCCTCGAATGGAACACCAGCACTGAGACTCACTAACCTGACAGGGTAGGTCTGGCTCCTCCCACCTCAAGCTGTGTATGAGAGCTGCTGGCACAGAGGATGTGCTGCTTAGAAGAGCAGGGGTGGCATCATACCCGGGATGAGAGCTCTTTCCACAGAGCCCACGTTTGTTCTTAAGCTAACTTGCATTTTACTGGATGGGGCAATGTGAAGGTAGCTGACAAGCCCTCCAGGAGAATGCGTGTCTGTCTCCAGAATCAGCCTTTTCCTTTGGACTTGTAAAGCAAGATCCCTGACAATTTCTGTCCCAGTAGAGCAGAATCCATGCTACATTAACAGTAGCCTTGTTTGTAAGAACTAACTTTACTGCCCCAGTCCCCACTAGGACATCTGCTATGTGACTTTAAGCATATTTCTTACTTGATATCTCATTAGCTCTGTAGAATGTGATGGCGATAAAATACCATGTGCTGATAGCTGTGTCATTGGAGTTAATTTTTAACCTCAGCAGAGTATTCTGAGCACCTATGATGTCATAGCTAAATTTACTTTAAAAGCTTAAATTGCAAGCTTTCATTTGCATATCCTTCCAAGGCCCCAAGAAAGGTCTCTGTGATGCAGCCCATTGAGTTAGCTCATGTGAACTCTGGACGTTCAGATCACATGAACTCTGAAAGTTGTATGACTTATAAAACTTAGATCTGTTATATAAAATCAGTCTGTGTTTGTGTAAAATGAGACAGTATGCTATACATGGTTGTTTAGATTGGTAATTATCCTAAAGACCATCTTTAACATCTTTAAGTTTCTTAGACTACACAGTACCCACAAGTACAAGTATTACCAACATATTTGACATGAGAAAGTAAGCAACATGACAATCAGTTTCCAGAAAGATTCTGTGTAAAGTGTTTGGTGTGCACCCTGCTTCTAGATGCTGCCAGCCCTGAGATGACATCCTCTTGCAACCAGAGCACCCGTGAAATCTGCAGGTTGACTCTTTCCTTCTCAACTACCTACGTTTTCTAAGAAAGGCTTTGCAGAAGGAGGCAAGACAGACTTCCAAATACTTCAAAGGAAGATTGAACAAGTGCCCCCCCTGCTGTTATCTCTTCCCCTTCCCAACCTATTGATGCTATTTCAAGATATATCCACGAAAGACTAGTGATACGGTTCTGTTACATAAATGTGTATTTGATATTAGTTAGATTGTGTATTTAAAGTTCTCTGAGATTAAAAGTGAGTAAAAAAAAGGAAAGAATCACTATAAAAGGTCATGTTCTTGTGCATTGAACTTTGCATATTATCTATATAAATGTTTACAGTTGGAGGAAATGAAAAAAAGAAGCTAGGATCTGTAAGAAGTTTCCTTTACCTTACCTGTAAGAACACATTGAAAAGCTTGCTTCTAGGCATTAAGGTGGTGTGAGCCTGCTGTCTGTTGGTAGATGTGTGTCTTTGTTTTCTGTCCTTGTGGAGGGAATCTGCTCTCTACTGATCTAAGACCTGTGCTGGTGCTAATCAGGCGGAGTCCTGTTGCTTCTAATGCCTTGGCTTGGCTAGTCCTGTGCAGTGAGAGTTTCTGGTGCTAATGTTCTGTGTGGAATGCTGGAATGGTGTGGGGGAGAGTTCTGGAGCATCAGCAGTCACCTAGGCAGTTCTGCTGGGCCAGTCACTGTCAGTCACTCAATGAAGAGGGTGGTGCAAGCTTTTATGGACTCCGGTCTTGTCTGTGATAGTGGCTGGAGTTAAATGATAGTGGTTGTGATAGAGGCTGATAGTGGATTGGACCCACAGAAATCCCTATTGCCTTGTTAGCGCAAATACTTAGGTTTACCCGAAAGTCTTTTTTACCAAGGTGCGAAGTTATTTACCTGCATTCCACATATGCTTTCTGATGTATAGGTTTACAACCTTTTAGGTGGGAGGAGAAGACCAGTTTGACTCCAGGGTCTTGGTTACTGGGTTTCCAGCCATGCTCCATATTTATTATTTGAGAACATAGCTCTTCAGGGGGTCAGAATTTGTGTAAGGTTTTTGTATCAACTATCTAATAGTTTGCTTTTTTTCAAAAGTCACTGACTAGAATTTAGCCTAAGAGTTGAATGAGAATTCCTCATTACTTTGGGGGATTTAAAAATGAAAATCTAAACCTGGACACTTGGGACCTCAAAGGAGTAGACATTCCAGAGGAGGCAAGAATAAAAGGTTCCCATATAAAAGTCTGTTGGTACTAGTTAAATTGCAATTTTACTTATATTTAAAAGCTGTGTATTAAACCTCTGACCATGGGTTTGCCCAGGCTAGTTAGACTAACACTCTGGTAAAGTCACTCTATCAGCAGAAGGGGGCTTTTTACTAACATCTGTGATTTACTGTTGTGTTGAAAAGCATCGCCCACAGACAGCAGCGTGGAAGACAGACAGCTGGGGTCACCCAGCACATGGCGGTGTCATCTTCGTGTAAAGGCCAATGCGGAAATATTAGCATGACGACTGAGGGAGGGTCTATCAGCCACCTATAATCTGTGTACTTGGGTTTGGTATCTTTGGCCTAGTAAGACACTATATGAACTTTAGAATTAAGGAAATAAAAATAATTTTCTAAGTCCTTATTGATATTTGGAGATCATTTTTTGTTAGAACTTTGGTGTGGAGCTAAAGAACTAAAGATTGTTCAGGTCAAGTCTGTAGGTACTGACCAAAATAATATCTGTTTTCAGTTTGTGGGTATTTAATCCCTTCTTGTAAGAATGGACTTATATGGACATGCTAATGTGAAGTTATTTTAAGTACTTTTGAGAGACAATGGGCTTGCTGTGCCTACCTATGTTTTAAAATTAATAAATATTGTCTAACTAAGCACGATAGATGGTTTTAATTTATATTAATTAAGAGTATAAATAATATACGTATCACTATATAGTATTAATAAATAAAATTGAAATAATCAGTCAGTTCTCTTCTCTTTTTTGGTAGAAATTCTGGACTTGTATAAAGTTATTTTTTTCTTTTAATACTTTGACTTCTTTTTTATTTTTAATCCCTTTTATCTCTTACTTTTCTACTTTTAAAATTTATTTTTATTTTAAATGCATTGGTGTTTTGCCATGGGTGTTGAGTCCCCTGGAACTGGAGTTACAGATACTTATGAGCTGCCATGTGGGTACTGGAATTGAATCCAGATTCTCTGGAAGAGAAGTCAGTGCTCTTAACCCCTGAGCCATTTCTTCATCCCCCAAGTTAATTTTTGTTGTAGAGCTGTTGATATAGGCAGGCACTATTGTGACAAAAATGACATTTTGTAACACCATCTGACCAAAGTATGAGAGACCCAGGCCCAGGCTTAGCACCTGGTTCTGCTGGTGGGGACCCCTTGTGTTTGGAATGGCAGGCTTCTCTCTCCCTTTTGCCTCCCCCCTCACCCCTTAGTAGCTTACTGTTTTCGGCTGGGTCTGTGTGGGTCAGACTTAGACTGGAAAATGTGGTTGAATTTTTTTAAGGCCTCCTCATGTAACAAAACCACAGGTTGAGAAGTAGAGCCCACCAGAGCTCGCTTTAAAGGCTTAGGCGTGTCTAGTGAGATGGACTGACTGTTTTTCTGTATTGTTTGTGTTGAGTGTGTTTATGACGGGGGCCCTTAATGCTTTTATTTGTATAAAAAGTTACGTTCTCATATTTCTTTCTAATTGGTATTACCTTTTTCCTCTTCTTAGTTTCAAACCTGAAATAGCTCGAAGATGTAAGTACTTGGCAGCCTACCTGCTGCTTAATGCCCTTCTGAGAAATGCCTCAGATCCCGACGCATCGCCCAGCAGTAGCGCTAACTTCTCGAAAACAGAACTAGTCATTTTATGTTGTTTGTCATGAAAAGTTGTCTCCCCCGTTTCAGAGCCTTGTCTAATTCTTTTATTCTTCATTTTGGCACCCTGAACCATTTCTTGTTGAAGTGAGAAAGGTGCAGATAAACTCTGGGAATGCTGTGTCAGTTAACGTAAGATGGGGTCGGGGCGTGAAAACATTGTCTCCAGTCACCAACCTTTTCCTGTCCCTAGATGAGGACAAGACCTCCAGCCGGTGGACAGGAATAGTACAGTCACCACATTGCAGACTCTTCTTTGTCCCACTAGATTAGGAACCAGACCTTATTAATGTGGTAATAAGAAAAACTTATGAAAGTAGAGATATCGTTCATACTTTTGTGAACCTAGGCTTATACAACTAAAGAAGTTACTTCCTAAGCAAGCCAATGGGTGTTTGTTGACATAAATTGTGGTTATAATTATTTACAGCAGAAATTAATTTATTAAACATTTCTTTAGATAATAAGAGCTGGGGGCTAGAGAGATGGTTCAATGGTTCTGAGCTCTGACTGTTCTTCCAGAGAACCTAGGTTCAATTTCCAGTACTCACATTTCAGCACACAACTGCCTGTAACTCCAGTTTCATGGGATCTCATGCCCTCTTCTGGGCTCCACAGGAACCGGGCACACAAGTGTCATACAGACATACATGTAGGCAAAACACCCATGCACATAAAATAAAAAGTTTTAATAGGTAATATGAGCTTTTAGAGCTTATATTCCTGGTATTTCTTGTATTAAAGGAAGATGGAGATGTTTTCTTTATCACTAAGCAAAGCTTCCCTCATGGAATACTGAGTACCGGTTTTTCTGCTAAATTCTCTCCTTAACTAATGGAAGTGAAAGGAAATAGGATTCTGCTGGCTGTGCTAGTAGCAACATATCCGTGGAACCACGTGGCCTCTCCACAGTGGGGAGGGCAAGAGTGGATGTCGGAGAAATGGTCTTCCCCATGGGTCAATATTTGAAGCTACAAAAGGTATACAGGAAAGTTCTGAGTTCAGCGCCAGTCTGGTCTACATAGTGAAACCATTCATGTCTCAAAAACAAAACAAAATGAAAAGGTATGTTTTATTTTAGTTTTGATTGATTCTGTCAAATTGTCCTCCTAAAAGACTATCACATTTTCCAATAAAGGAAAATGTCAAATTCAGGTAATATAATATGAACACATTAAAATATGTTGTGGGTCAAAAATTAATATTGAGAGATGCGACCTAGTCAGAAGAAAGAAAAGGGCACAGAGTCCAATTCCTCTATTGGGTCATGGTCAGAAAATATGAGAAATAAGCTCTCCTGGACAGGAGGGGAGAGGTCAGTGCCACTTGCCTGGGCAGGGATTACTTAAGGAGTTAACTGCTGCAGCTGGCTCTGTGCAGGATGCTGGGCTCTGCCAAGCTCTGTTCCAGGAGGGGGCGGTAGAGCCCAGCTCACCATAGTCATGTCCATCCCGAGGGAGAAGAATACTAAAATCTGCGATGAATTTTGTGTGAGAACTAGTGTCTGTCGCCTTTTGTCCATGCATCTAAAAATGGCGATTTACTATTATTTTAGATTTAATCATGTGTGAATGTATATTGTGTGAGTCTGTATGTGGGAATGCACATGTATGCAGGTACCCAGGGTTGGAACAGACTTCTGCTGACAACACCGTCGTACACCCCGCATCCTGAGCAAAGCAATGAAGGAAACTGTGAAAGATGTTTCCAATGTGAAACAGTTGATTTTATGCAGAACATGTAATAAACCCCTGTCTTTTGTGCACCACCGCTTGGGGGTCCTGATTTCTAAGGGTTCTCTGCTACTGAGCCAAACTCCCCACCACACAGACTTTGTCTTTTCCTGGTCCTGCAGAGGGCTTTTACAAAGAGGATTGGACTCAGAGTTTTAAAGACTATTTTTAATTTATGTGTATGGGTGTTTTGCCTGCATGTAAGTATGTGTACCACATTCATGTCTGGTGTCCACAGAAGCTGGAAGAGGGGATCAGATCATCTGGGGCTGACTAGAGACTGTTATTAGTCACCATGTGGGTGCTGGGAATTGAACCCTAGTCCTCTGTGAGAGCAGCCAAGGCTACATAGTGAGACCTTGTCTCAAAACAAACCACAACACCATTGTAATTTAAACCTGCTCTACACACACACACTAAAAAACTTAGAGGCTGAACACTACCTTTAGAAGCAGAGCCAGCTTTCCTGTATTGTAGGGTTATATTTTTAACTCCTCTTTAAAGCATGGATAAATATAAGATTGACTTCTGTGTTTTTAGAAAAGATTTATTTTCGTGTGTGTGTGTGTGTGTGTGTGTGTGTGTGTGTGTGTGTGTGTATGCATGTACACATATGTGAATGCTGGAGCCTTTGAGTTCTGGAATGGGCATCAGATACCCTGGAACTGGAGTTACAGGTGGTTGTGAGCAGCCTGACCCCCTGATGGAACCAGATTCAAGTTCTTTGTAAATGTGCTTAACTGCTGAGCCATCTACCCAGCCTCTCCATGTTTTGTTTGCTTGCTTGTTTGATTTTTTTATTTTGATTTGATTTGATTTTTTATTTTATTTATTTATTTTTTATCAAGACAGGGTTTCCTCTGTGTAACTGCTCTGACTGTGCTGAAACTTGCTCTGTAGACCAGTCTGGACTCAAACTCACAGAGATCCTCCTGCTTCTGCCTCCTGAGTTCTGGGGTTAAAAATGTGCACCACCACCGCCCAGTTCTCTGTATTATTGTTGTTGTTATTTTAGTTTTTCGAGACAGGGTTTCTTGGTGTAGCTTTGGTACCTTTCCGGGAACTAGCTCTGTAGACCAGAGTGGCCTTGAACTCACATAGATCTGCCTGCCCCTGCCTCCCGAGTGCCAGGATTAAAGACCTGTGCCACCACTGTCCAGGTCTGTATTATTTTTAAGAATGCTTTTTAAAATTATCATTTTGAAATGGTCATACTATAGAAAGGTAGCAAGAATTTCTATATGCCATTTACTTTAAGGTATACCAACTGTAAAAACATTTTGTTATCTATCTACCTAACTATCTACTGTTCATTTATCAAGCACATTTTCTCCTTAGATGATCTGAGATTGAACTCTTGAAATTACATTCCCACTCTCCATCAAATGCCCCAGGGTCTCCTTACTAAGAACACGATATTCTCTTACAGAATTAGCAAATTCAGAAATTGAACTCTGACATAACACTATTGCCAAATGCATTGTTCATATTCTGGATTTGCCAGGTGTCTGAGTCCTTTATGACCACCTGTCCCTCGCCTTCCCGCTCTGGGATCTACCAGGGATGGGACGCTGCGTACCCATAGCGCGCGGTCACGCCGCGACACTTTGATCTTCAACTCCACCTTTCGTGGCGTCAACACCTCTGAAGATGCTGGCTCTAAAAGTGTCCTTCAATTTGAGTTTGTTTTAGGGTTAAATTGAGTTTATCTGTATGGAACATAATTAGAACTTTAGACTTACCTGGTTCATTCTTGCCTCAAAGATGCATTAAAGAATGACCGTATCCCTCTGAGATCCCTTTGCGTCAAAACCAGCTACGTGTTGAAAGGAACACACTGGAGAAACTAGTTCTCCATGAGGCACTGATGGCTGAAGACTGTCCCCCAACTGAACAAACTAGCCAGGAGCCACCGTATTTTAAAAGCCAAGTTTATGAAACTGAAGGAATGATGAAAACATGTTTAAGTCACAAGCTTCTGTTTTTATTGTGAGTGTGTTGCCTATCACACAGCCATCTTTACCCACGTACAGGGAGTGGGTTGGTGCTTTATCTCAAGTTATCCGAAGAACTTTCTGTCAAACCCTACACTATTGACCCGCTTTCAGCAACAGACCCGATGATTGACACTTTGTAGCCGTCACCCAGCATTGCTGTGTAACCGGAGGCTTGAGTACCACCTAACGTGGCCTTGTAAGAAACTAGGTTTCAGAACTGCCCAATTTTAGACTTGTATTGGTTACTGTTGTATGTGTGGGAAGTGCGTGTGTTGCTGTGCTACAGTATCAGCACAGAGATCCCAAGACAACTTCCTGTAGCCAGTTCTCTCCTCAGCCTCCTGTGAGTTCTGTGCGATCAAACTTAAGTCACCAGGCTTTTGTAGCAAGCACTGTAACCTGCTGGGCCATCTCTCACAGGCTCAGGACTGTTGATTTTTTTTAATTGCAAAAGTTCTAATGTTTGGAGAAAGAAAGCCCCAATCAAAACCCGGTTGGTTTAAGCCAGTGGGGTGCTGTGAGTGTGCCAAGCACATAGGTGTGCCATGAAGGGCCAGGAAGAGAAATGGGATTGAAATCCAAATCTTCATCTTTCTTTACTTTTGCCCAAGGGTGGTCTTTTCTGGTTTGTTTTCCTCTTCCCCACACAGAGCACGTGTAAAGTTTATTTCAAAATAGAGTTTCTTGAGAACCCAAATCGGCTTAAGCCTAGAAGTTTGGAGGAAACATCCACTCTTACACTAGTTGCTATGATGACTCCGTTTTCCCCTTTCATCGTGTGACACAGAGGGAGCAGCTGGCGTGACAATCCCGTCCTTGTCCTGGATGTCCATTTCCAGAGTTCTCCTGCGCTTGTGGTAGCATGGTTTGTTTCCCCTTGCGGCAGCAGTGACAGCATCATTCGCACACAATTCTTGAGAACACAGGGAAGCCACTGGCCACACACACAGTGCCCAGGTTCCCATGACACAAACACGAGGTGGGGCTTTCTAGAGGTCAAGCACACAAAGGTGTGTTTGTGGTTCACCTGAGAGCGCAAGGTCCCCACAGCTGAGTTGGAGTTAACTAACATCCGGGTATTGTAAAACTAAGTGATTGGAACTATGTTGAGTTTGAAGGGAAGTATTTCATTTTACCCGTGTCTATGGGATGATTGCGGGAGAAATAGTGAAGTGTTTATCAAATTAGTACACATAAATAGTTAATGTTCAATTTAGGATGTTACGGTTCAAATGATTTGAGTTTGATAGTTCAGCGTACAATTAAAGTATGACCTAGAGTCATATTCTCTGGAAGGCCTTTCGCTTTAAGCTTCATAATTTCTTTTAAAGTTCACTTTGTGGATCCACCTATTCTCTGTTTCCCAACGAGTATGAAAGAGTATCATTAATTTCTGCATCCGGCTCATCATGGTCTCTCTTTTTTTTTTTTCATCATGGTCTCTTTAAAATGTCCTCCACTCTAATGTGAAAGAGGGGGTTAATTAATACTGCTGGTGTCTAAGTGTGGATAGAAATGATTGGACCGGCCCATTTAAAGATTTTATTTGTGTTAATATCCCGTGGGATAAGAATATCCAGTTACTACCAGATTTTGTAAACAAAATGTGTAATCCAATCTCTTCATTGTTGACAAAGAAAAAAAATCTAGTCAATGGCACTGAGAATTCTTCGTCTTCTCATGCGGGGATTTTAGACTGGAGAGAGAACCAGTTTCATCGTCTTTTTTGGAGGTGTCGATTCTTTTGCTTCGGTGTGTTTGGGCTTCTCATTTCTCCACGCTTTCCTCAGATGAGCTTCCGCCCTGGAACCGTCCTCCTCCGAGGTACCTCCCAGTAATCAGCCTACCTCGTGGCAGGTAGAAGCGGTTTAACTGGAAGCCGTAGTTGTAGTTTGGAAGGCGGAAAGGTCTGTTGGGAAGCCTCAGGTAGAAGCCAGGCCTTTGCAGAAAATAAGTCCAAGTCCACAGGGGCACCCTTGGGTTGAGTTGGGCCCTTGTTACTGTAGGCCTCCCTGTTGCGGGCGGAGGGGTGAGTGTGAAGATTTGGCAGTCTGTAGGGTTCCCATTGTTTGGCGAGCCAACAGGAGGGGTCACTACATCTTGTCCTGTGGAAATGAAAATGTAGGTCAGGAGAAGGGTCCGGCAGCAGAAGTGGAGAAAGTTAGGTCCCTCAGGGTGAAGGTGGGAGGGAGGGGTGAAGAGTAGCTCGGAGACTAAGTGAATGGCAGGGGTCCAAGGGAACGGACGTGGACACACCTAGTGATCCACACTTCCATCCGGGGAACTGGCCCAAAAGAAATAAATGCATATTTATCTGAAAATACTAGTTCAAGCATGTCGATAGCAGTCCTTAGTCCCTTTTTTATATTCACAATCCTTTGAAATGTCAATCTTGAACACCTGGATATGACTAACTGGGCTGTTGATGGACACTCCACACATTCACTCGCTAGCCATTGAGGAATTAGGGCTCCTGGAATTACAGATGGCAGTGAGCGATCATGTGGGTGCTGGGAATTGAACCTGGGTCCTCTGGAATAGCAGTTAGTACGCTTAACCCCTGAGCCATCTCTCCAGCCCCGTCATCTTATTAAATTCCATGATGATTGAGTGCTAGAGCATGACAGGCAGGCTTTCTCCTAGCCTGAGCTATCCAGGAGTTTAGCATTCTTTTCTGGGAATCCACAAGGCCCAAGATCAAAGGGCAACTTGCTTCTATCGCTGACTCAAGGCAGTCAACAAGACCATATAAATATGTTTGGATATTTTCCTAGCAAGCTAATCACATGGTGATTATATTGGGTCACTGATGGGGAACCTCCTTTAGCCAATAGCCTTTAAAAGGCTGGACCAGGTGGGGTGTGGCCTTTGGGTACCAAAAAGCCCACGGGAGGACCCACTCAGCCTCTTCTTTCCACAGGCCACACCTGAATATTGACCCCATTCCTATTTCCTCGTTGAGATCTGTGATTTTCCCTTTTAATAAAGAAAAACCTTGTGTACCCCATTTGGAGCTAGTGTGGGATTATTTGATTTGCATTCTCCCCATCTGACACGTTCTGCTTCAGGTCAGTACTTAGAAACACAAGTGTTCTAAAATGTAAGAAATTGGCTGGAGTGATGGCTCAGTGGTTAAGAGCACTGGCCACTCATCCAGGGGACCCAGGTTTGACTCCTAGCACACACATGGTGGCTTATGACCACCCAAAATTACCCTCTTCTACCAGGCACACAGGTAGTATGCAGACATACATATTTTATGTGAACACCCATTCACATAAAATAAAACAAACTTAATACAAATAAAATGTAAGAGCCTAGGCGTTGGCTTGTGAATCTGTCACATGTTACAAAGTCAAACCGTCCTGTAACCTGATGATGTCATCTGTGCTTCCTTTCCCCGGCTCTGCTGACCCTGCCCATCTGTCCTTTTGTTTGACCTCATTCTGCCCACTTCCTGTCATCATTATCTTTGTTTTCTCCTCAAACTGCCTTCAAACTCCAATGACGATCTGAAGAATCCACCTCTCCAAGACTATTCAACGTCACATTTAAGAGAGGAAACAGTGAACCGCCATGAACATTTTAGGTTCTTCTGTGAAAGCGGGCTATAAACTATGTATACAATTGACAGCAGTGGCTGTCTCCACTCTACAAATGCTCCTTTGCAGAGCCTTAATATTCCTGGGCTTAAAATTGGGTTCCAGATGTCTAGAGTTCCATTTTCTACCTCTTTCCCCCACAGCTCTCATCTAGTCCCCAAGTTAGATCTCCTTGGGGATGTCTTCCCTGCGCGAAGGCGGTGTGATAGCCCCTTGCCAGAACTTTCTAGCACACTTGGCCCACCAGCATCACTCAGACCAGAGCCATGCAGTTATCATTTCTGAGATATCCACTGGCCCCACCCCAGTGCCTGTGGAAGAACCGAATCGATTGAGAGCAATCTCCATCTCTAGAATTGTAAAAGTTCCCACGTTCCTACACGTGGGGGATAGTGTGAGGATTAACACACATATTCCCACACGTTACACACTGACACACACCAGCACAAGCACTGGACAGCAGAGCTAAGCATCCTGAAAGCCTAATGAGACCAAAGCAGGGAACGTAGTTGAATGTTGATTAAAAACAGCCGGGGAGGCAGGGCAGCATGACGCTCCAGAGGCAGGATCCCTGAGTTCTGCTTCTAACATTGTGACCATAGGCAGATGCCTCACCCCTGAGAGGTTCTCCTTATTTGTAAAATGGAAAGAATAATAGGACCTATTCAATGGGCTTGTGAGATTATCCAAAATAAGATATTCGTGGTTCTCAGTGTGTCCAGAGCACGGTACACATTTAGTAAGTTGGCCATTGTCACTGTGAATTGTTGTGGCTGTGGATGCTATAGAAGGATTTTTAGCAGCACAAGCTCCAGTTCTTAGGTCCATCTGTTTATACATGATCTGTGCATCGAGGTGAGGACACGACTAAAGTACATAGTTATATAGTGTAGGATCTTGTGGGCCATTGCTGATGCCCTAGGGACCTGGAACACTCTGGATGACAGTGTTCTTAGTAAATATTTGGTGTTTTCACCCAATGGCTAGGCAGACTTTGGCTGTTTGTTTCGGTGTTTTTGTGGTATTCAGTGAGTATATAATTCCTGTTTTTGAATGTTTTCAATAATAATTTATATTTAAAATTATAGTATTGTATAATAAATGCCAAAATATTGTTTGGAGTTGGGCTATCAATTTTAAATGGGCTTATTACAGTCTAGACATGAAATTTATAACATACCTCAAAACTAGCACTTTAAAAAAAAAAAGGTAACGATGAGAAGATCTTTTTATAATGACCTGTAGTCTGTGGTTACCTGGGCAGACAATAGCTGTTTTGTAGTGACCTGCAGTGCTTTTTAGAGATGCAGGCTTGGGGCTTGATGTCTAGGTACGCCGTTCTTCCCTTACAAAGTGCCGGGAGCCTTAGAATTCCCACACCTTGAATACTCAGACTTGAACCACAAAGAGGTACCAGTGCCGTGGTTAACTGACTCATAATAATTGTAATTTGATTCATTTCGTAGACTCAGAGAACGATTGACTGTTTATTTCCAAACCCCTCATTTGAAAGATGTGCTTTAGAGTTCAGCAGATCCTGTAGGTCTCTTTCAGTGTGTTGTCAGTGAAGTGGGTTCCACAGTGAGCGTGGCCCTGTCAGGTGCTGAATTAAATGTAGAGACAACCAAGACAGCCCCTGCCTCTGAGGGTGGGAAAGGTGCTACAGACAGATAGATCTGCCATCCAGAGTGGAATAGTACATATGCTGTAGGTGATATACAGATTCATGACAACCCAAAGATGCCAGAGGGGGAAAATCTACTATTTTACAATGCTGTGTCTTGAGAAAGCTTGCAAACGCAACATTATAGTCACATTTAAATGCAGCTACTTGAAGCAGAATCGCAGAAAGCAGACGTGAAGCAGGAAATGAGCAGCCGCTGCCATGGAAGGGCAAGAGCATAGGGAATGTGGGACACAATGACCCTGTTGGGAGGTCAGTCCATAAGAAGCCCAAGTGAGTGAGGATGTATAACCCAGACTATAAGCTCAGAGATCAAATCTCACATTTCAAATAATATTCTTACCTGTTTGGGGACATGGTTTCACTAAGTAGCTCTGGTTGTCCATCCTGGAACTCACCATGTAGACTAGGCTGGCCCTGAACTCACAGCACTGTAATTCCAGGTTGGCACTGTTACTTGGTAACCATAGTAACAATAATAGCATTTGTGTAATGCTTTTAATGTGAGTCTTCCTTCCTTCCTTCTTTCCTTCCTTCCTTCCTTCCTTCCTTCCTTCCTTCCTTTCTTTCTTTCTTTCTTTCTCTCTCTCTTTCTCTTTCTCTCTCTCTCTCTCTCTTCCTCTTCTTTCCTTTCTTTTCTTTTGCACATAGTTTAATGGTTCTCTTCAGCCCCACTATAATGCATATAGATATTGTCAGTTTACATATGAGAAATTCATGTGCAATGCTCAAAGAGGCTACAAGTGTCTCAAATCACAATGCTGAGACTTGGATTCAGGTCTTCAGATGAGAAAATCCAACCTTTCCTTTAACCACACGAGCTGATGATAGCAGATATAAACGTTTCCAAGTTATGGAAGTGTATAATCATGGAAGCCCAATTTGCCTTTCCATATGGTATTAATTATTTAACCCACACATAGTAAATAAAAACCCAAACTCTTACCTTCTGCCATAGTTAGCACTGACCAGCAGACCAGGACCCAGAAGTGGAATCCGGGAGCCATGGCTTCCTCCCTGAGCACTCATGCTGCTCTGGACCCAAGGCTGCTTTAAAGGAGAGTGGATGAGTCACCGGCAGCCTGAGTCAGGCAATTAGCATGAGCATAGTGGACCACAACTACCTGGACCTGTGGGGAGAGAGAGAAAAATTCTCAAGGAAATGTTGAACAACATTCATCAACCTGAAGCTCCTGCTAATGTCTGGCAAGCATCGTCCATCTTGCCTTCATTTGGACTGCCCCTTGAATGTCCTTTAAGTTCCAAACACCCCTACCAACTGCCTTCTCCCTACTTGTGCCTGTGATTCCTTAGCTGATGGGAAGGTCTCTTAGTTGCTTTTTTTTCTACTGCTGTGACAAAGCACTATGATCAAAGCAATTTGTAGAAGAGCGATTCTCAACCTTTCTAATGCTGCGACCTGGTGAACCCCACCCCTAAAATTATTTCATTGCTAGTTCATAAACTGTAATTTTGCTACTGTTATGAATCATATTGTTAATATCTGATATGCAGGATATCTGATAGGTGATCTCTGTGAAAGTGTTCTTTGACCCCAAAGGGGCTGCGACCCACAGGTTGAAAACCACTGTTTTAGATGAAAGAGTTTATTCAGGCTTACGATTTCAGATGGTGAGTCCATGATCACCATGGTGGGGATCTGTTGTATGAGGTTTTCTGTCCTGCCCAGTTCCCGCAGTTATTAAGTCCCAAAGAAGTCACACAGAGGTCTATGTTAATTATAAACGGATTGGCCCATTAGCTGAGACTTCTTACTAACTCTTACAATTTATATTAGCCCATTATACTTGTCTATGTTAGCCATGTGGCTTGGTACCTTATTCGGCGAGGCAGTTACATCTTGCTTCTTCTGTGGCTGGGTCACGACTGCAGACCAAGTTTTCTTCTTCCCAGAATTCTCCTGTTCTCATTGACCCACCTCACTTCCTGTCTGGTTGTCTCACCTTTACTTCCTGCCTGGCTACTGGCCAATCAGCATTTACTTATAATTGACAGAATACAGACCGTTGTCCCACACCAGGGATCATGGCAGCAGTCAGGCAGGCACGGTGCTGGAGCAGTAGTTGAAAGCGTATATCTGATCCCACAGGCCTGGGGCAGAGAGAGATCTAAGTGAAATGGAGTGGGCTTTTGACTCCTCAAAGCCTGCCTCTAGTGACACACCTCCTCCAACAAGATCACACCTCTAATCCTTCCCAAACAGGGCTACCCACTTCAGGTCCAGCATTCAAATCTATGAGCCTATTAGGGCCATTCTCATTCAAATCCCCCCATAGAAAAGATTCATCTGGGAGGAACCCAGCACAGCTTTTCACCATGTAGCTTGACTTCCTGGAGCAAAACATGAGGAAAGGAAGATGCAGAGGTTTCCTGACCCCGGTGTTTGAAGAGGCTGCCTTTAGATTCTGATCTAGTGTATGATTCTTCTCTACTCTGTCTGCCTGTGAGGGAAGGGTCAGGGTTAGAAAAGTATCTTTTCTTGTGGTCACTGTGGTCACTGTTTAAATAAAAATGGAAAGCAGGGAACATAACTTAGTGAGTCTTCTTTGTAGACTTTCTTCTACGTCACCAACATGTTTGGAAGATAGCCATGTGTCTTGGTCATTGCTCTGTTGCTGTGAAGAGACACCATGACTAAGGCAACTCTGTTTTTTAAGTTAATTTATTTTTATTTTATGTGCATTGCTGTTTTGCCTGGAACTGGAGTTGCAGACAGTTGTGAGCTGCCATGTGAGTGCTGTGAATTGAACCCTGGTCTTCTGGAAGAGCAGTCAGTGCTCTTAACCACTGAGCCATCTCTCCAGTCTACTAAGGCCACTCTTATGAAAGAAAGCATTTAATTAGGGGCCTACTTACATGTTCAGAGGCTTAGTCCATTATCATCATAGCAGGGAACATGGTAGCATGCAGGGTCTTTAGTGCTTTACTGTGCTCTGCATTTTGTATCTAGGGGTTTTTTAAATCACTTTTCTACTCTTGATCATACCCCGTCAAGACTAATTTTATGTATTATTTTGGCTGGGTTTTAGTGTTTAGATATGCAATCAAATATTGTTTGCAGTGCCATTGTGAAGGTGTACTGGGATGAGGTTTACACTTAAATCTGTGGACTAAGTGATGCAGGTTTGTCTTCCCCCATGTGAGTCAGTGGACCTCAGCGAGTCAGTGGAAAGCCCCCAAAGATTAAGTCAGACCTTCCCCTGAATGTGAGGGCAGCCTCAGATTACAACTGTTTCCCAGGCTTTTCTCCAGATCTCTGGTCATGCAGACTACCCTGTGAACTTTGAACTTGTCAGCTTTTACACCTTAATGAACTGATTCCTTAAAATCAACCCTCTCCTGACATACATGTTTTATTAGTTCTTCTTCTCTGGCGAACACTAACGTACATGACATTTCCTCTATGTTGATGTACATACATGCCACTGCAGAGGCTTAATGGATAGATACCATTTTGTGCGGTCTAGTGTAACATGATGGGGCCAGCTTGTTGGGGTATCTGTCCCTCCCAGTACCCCACAACCGGAGAGCAACAAAGAAAATCACACACAGGACTCCATAAGATTATAAAGCTGATTGGCCCATTAGGTCAGGCTACTTATTAGTTCTTATGACTTATCTTAACCCATTATTCTAATCTATGTTAGCCACACGGCTCTGTACCTTTCTCAGCTGGGCAAGTTACATGCTGCCTCTTTGGTGATCTGCACAGTAGTGGCGAGGGAGCTTCCTGCTTCCCAGAATATTCCCAGTCTCTTTGCTCCACCCCTACTTCCTGTCTGGCTTTCCTGCCTATACTGCCTGCCTGGCCAATCAGCATTTTATTAAAATATGATTGACAGAATACAGACAATTCTCCCACACCAGTCTAGTGAATAATTTTTTTTTTTTTTGGTTTTTCGAGCCAGGGTTTCTCTATAGCTTTTGGAGCCTGTCCTGGAGTTAGCTCTTGTAGACCAGGCTGGCCTTGAGCTGGCAGAGATCCGCCTGCCTCTGCCTCCCGAGTGCTGGGATTAAAGGCTTGTGCCACCACCGCCCAGCTCACGAGAATAATTTATAGTAACAATATTTTTAGTGTTGAATGAGTAAGATTATTAAATAACATACACATATGAGAGAGAGAGAGAGAGAGAGAGAGAGAGAGAGAGAGAGGAAGAGAGAGAAAGAACATGACAGAGCAAAATATCGTATCAGAAACTCAGATATTCAGTAGAAACTGGCTGTGTATATGTGTGCTTCCAGAGTATAACAGCTCTAAAGATTTAGCTTATATGCCTAGTTTAAAATGCCAGGTAATGGTACCTGGCTCTCAAGTGCTTTACGTTCTTCATAGCTGTTTCCCTGGTCTCTGCTGTTCACGCTCTGACTGCTGCTGCCCCGCCCTTTCCTGCTGACAACAGATCCGCTTTTCCCCCATGTCCTTCCATTCTAAAACTCTACAAAAATGTTTTGTCCTTACGTTTCTGTTCTCTCTTACAATTCCTAGTCAGCTGACACAGGACCCTAAGGCTGTCCTATCTGTTTCTTTGTTAAAAGAATGTGGTTACAGTGTGTTTGTATAAGTGTGTAACTGTGTTTTTGTAATGTAAATTTGAGTTTTGTGTATATGTGTGCTTCCAGATTACAACAACTCTAAAAATTTAGCTTATATGCCTAGTTTAAAATGCCAGGTAATGGTACCTAGCTCTCAAGTGTCTTTATAGATCTGAGATCACGGCTTTTTAACAAGAGCTTCTAACACAGAGGCATGCCAGCCTTTGCAGCACCCTATGACTCCTCCAAGAGGACAGAAGACCTGCCACCCCCAGACTTGCTCTGGGTTTGCAAAGCGACCCACACAGAAGCAAAAAGAGGCCTTTTACCCAGGGAATCGATCTGCTTTTTCCTGCCAAGACAGGTAAGACAATCTTCCCCTCACAGGAAAAATTTTTGGGCCTCTTGCATTCAACAGTTAATGGCAAACATTGTTTCTATTTTTAATCTGTCTATCTATTTATAATCAATATTAATCTATCTATCTTTCATCTATTTCTTTCTATTTGTCTGTCTATCTATCTATCTATCTATCCATCCATCCATCCAACTATCCATTCACCCACCTATCTATCTGTCTGTATCTATCTATCTATCTATCTATCTATCTATCTATCTATCTATCTAT